ACATCAAAATCTAAAACCATAACCTGAAAATCTGCACATATCTCCTACTTGATGCCACAGGGTTGTGTGGCTTAGGAGAGACTTTGATGTACATGGCTGACATTGAATCAGGCAGTGGCTGTTTGACACTTCAGTGTTACAGTTACCCTTATAAACCTTATACCTTTTTCACATTAATCTATCAGAGGCTCACCTTGCAAGGTGAAGCTTATATCTTTCCCTTCAACTGTGTGTTGAATGTGGCCATATCCTTAGTGCAGAAAGCTGCAAAATGCATTCAGCAGTTACCAAGCTGAGAAGTTCCTATCAACAGCAAACTGAGGCAGAAGGCAGAGGATCCACTAAGGATTTTCTGGTTGACTTGAAGAAGAGAGCTTGGCTCTGCAGGCAGCAGTGTGAAAACAGTAACAAACACAGTTGCCTCTCACTTCTCAAAGGAGAAAAGTAGCCTAAGGTGCAGACAGGTGCCAACTGGGAAAATGTTTTATCAAAGCAGATGTATTTATAGCTCATTTACAAGATCTTGCCAGAAGAAACATGGAGCTGTGGTTACATTCATAAATTAAAGCTAAACCACTGAGGTACATATTTAGCTCACTGCTACACATTACTGGGCACATCCTCACACTGTGCTCATGGCATATTTTGCACCTCTGATCTAATGGTCTCACCAGTTTATACCTATTGCCTTCCAGGTCCCAGTTACTTCCAGTATGCAATTGCTTATGAAGAAGTTTGGGTAGCAATTTTGAGGACAAATTTATATGTGGGTAAATTTAGCATCTTTCTATAAGGTCTAGGAGAATCAAAACCCAAAGCTTCTTTAACTTGAGTGAAACATGCTTTCATCCAGTACTCTCCTTTGCTGGCAAAATTCAGGAATGTAAGAGAGGCATTGCCTTCTCCACACCTCCTCCTCCATGGTAAAGGAGCATTAGCAATAACAATAAGTTGCATTGGCCCTTTATTCTACTATATTCATTTTGAAACACTGTAAGGCATAATTTCTAAATGTAATAAAATAAATGCAAATAGAATAAATTTGCAGGACAAACCTTTTTATGTTGTTTAAATTGAAAGGCTTTTTGCATATTTACTTAGAAAGAAAGCATGGGTACATATTCACTAATAGTTCCTTAAAAGGAAATAGTATCAAAAACCTGGTTTAAACTAAAATTTACAAAATAGCCTTTACCTTACAGTTATAAAATATCTCAGGCTTCATACTGACAAAACTGAACACATCTGTGATTATAGTAAGAGATTCTCTTTAGGATCAGCTTGATATAAATTTACCACTACACAGGGTATGCATGTATACTTCCAATATTTGTGTTTAAAAGATAAAAATTGTAAGTATTATACCTGCTGTGTTTGCTCAGTATTTGTTTCCAATTTACAGTGACTGTTTCAGCTCAGAGTCACAGGAAGGTACTGAGCACCGAGATGAGTCAGGAGCAGCAGCTGTCCCCAGCGGCTCCTCTCATTACGCAGCTCAGACTGACAGAACGCCAGTGGCTGAACACTGCAGGAGCAGGGAGCAATCTGGGACAACTGTCCCATCACTGAAGGATCTGTGTATGCAGGAACAAGATTAGTTCATAGGACATTAGAGATCAAATGAGATAAAGAACTGAGCCTCTGAAAATTTCTTCGCATTTCTTAGCTCTGAGTAAAACTAGCAGGCGCCTCAAACATGGACAGTGTGGACAAGGAAAGAAACCATATGGTACTACATCATTTACCAGGGCAGGAAGGCAGGCCATTTAGCACCATTCCAATAGCTTGAACTTTATGAAGATTATAGTGAATCACCCACTTCTGCACAGAGGTTGGCCAGTTTTCAAAACTGGGACTCAAGTGGTAGCACAGGAATGGCTCAACATCCAAACATATTTGACCAGAGTTGGTCATAGTTTGATATTTTCATTTTGTGTGAAACTCCAAATTTTAAATTCCTTTCAGCTAATTGGATTAACAAACAAAACCAAACAACAGAAATTTTAAACGATGAGATATGTTGGGGTGCTTTTTTTGGTGTGGGTGGGTTTTTTTGTTTGATTGTTTGGTGGGGGGTTTTATTTTTTGTTTTGTTTGTTTGTTTTTGTTTGTTTGTTTGTTTGTTTTTTACTGCACCTTTTACTTTCTATTTCATCCCTTGACTTCCTAAAAAGGTATCATTCATGTAAGGGAAAAATACATTACTAAAGGTAAGTGATTGAACAGTTTCTATTTTTTGTTTGTTTTTAAATAAGTGCCCAGCAAATTGCAACATTAATGCAACATTTTGGAAAAATTGTCATCATGCCTACAACCTCATTATTTTTGGAAACAATATCCCACAAGAGTTTCCAAATAATGTAATTTATTTTCTGTTTGAAACCCCATAGTTCATCATTTAAAGTTTGTGTAAAACACATCTGTTGCAATAGTTTAGATGCAAAATTATAATACAGAACTGAACAGGAGGCCATGGGTTCAGGCCTTGCTCTCCACAAGATTTCTCACTAGTACACATCAACAGAGATAAGAGAATCCAGATCAACACACAGTAGGCTATCAGTAAAAAAACAGTCTGCAAAATAAGAACTCAAAATTTTCTTCAAGGTGAGTATATAGCATTGTCCTCCAGAATCTGTATGAAATCACAAAACTCCTAATAGAGACTTAGTAAATAAATTAATCAAAGAATAGTAATTTTTAGTATATCTTTCTCATATGCAAAACCATTATCTCTTCTTATCTTAAACTTAGGTTTAACTCAGAGCTATACAGAGGCAATATTTGGATTTGCATGAGTTCTCTTCAAATTTAGATCATACATTATATTGCATAATTACAACACAGCAGTTTTTTATTTCACCCTGATCACATTTCCAGGGGTTGTCAGTGACAGACAGCAAAAAAACCTTTCCACAGTTTGACTTTCCTCATCCCAGTTAGTCCTGTTTCAGTGCTCTTGAATGTGTCCTCAGCAGAGGAGGATTATCAGTGAGTCGATTTCTCCCCTCTCTGTCTCAACTTGCAAGACATGGTCTCATTTTAGAAAACAGGTATTGCCCAGTAGGATATGACTGCTGCTGCCAAAAATCACTCTGAAAAAACAGGGCAAGCCTAAACTGCTGTGACTTGTGGTAAGAAAGAGAATCTTTGTGCCTCTGTACTGATCTTCTCCCTACCTACTCCTGCTGCCCCTGAACTACTTCCTTTCTTCCTTTACAGTAGTTAAGACACGTTCTGTCCCCAACGACTGTCCCATCTAAAAATAAGTGCTCTTGACACACAAGAGATGTCAGACTAGCACAGCAGGATGCTGAAGCGTCTTTAGATGCGTAGCAGGGCTTCTCTTACAGTGGGTTGCAGCAATTTAGGAATTCACACTTGATAAATGCAATAGGGCGGCTTCTTTTTATCTCTTGTAAATGGTGCCAGGACTGATGTATTCCTGATCCTTATTTGGCAATCCAGCTTGCTTCTTTTATGCTGTTCTATGGAATCACAAAATTCTAATGTTTGATTAAGTGAATGTGCACTGTTATTGTACACAGCTTTTTCACTGACATCTATAGGTGACCTATGCCATTGTCAGCAGCTGGCTCAACCTTTTGTTTCGATCTACATTTTCTTAGAACATACTTGTACAGAAACGTACTCTGCTCTGGCAGTGTTTCTACAGCAGAAAGACAATGCCTGAACTCTGGGAAGTTTCTTACCTATAGCTGAAATAACTCCTTTTCAGCTTCTTTTTGAATCTCATTTTCTAGATTAGTGATACAGCAACAGGCTACTCTGTATTACACATAATTAATGCTATTGCTTCATTCAATTATCCTTGCCCTTGCTCCTTTTTCAAGGTGAGTGAAAATCAGCTAAATAAAACACACTATCTTTCTTAACAGCAACATATTACATTAGCCCTTATATTGCTTAGATTAAGCTAAAGCCCTGCCAGAACAAGGCCTGGAGAGATGATCTGTCCTTGTTACCTGCTCTAAGTGTGGGGAAAAAAAATCAGTTTCTCATTATTGTTGTAGTGTTTAGTCTGAAATACTACTATTTAGAAACTGGGAAGGAGTAACTGCAATTATTCTCTCTCTCCTCTATTCTCTTCAATGTAGCCATTCTGTAGATACTCATGTGTGCAAGTTTTGGAAGTTTGAGTACTGTGCTTCTTCAGACACCTCCCAAAAACTTAGGAAAATACATTACTTACAGAGGATACTTAGCTGAAAGCCTTTCAAGAACATTCTTTTGCAATTTGCAATGGAAACAACATTCTTTGAAACATTATGCATATGAACATTACACTGCTACTGGGCTTTTCCAACAGGTACATATGCAATCAATACTTTGAGAAAAAGGATTGTAAAAACACTTGAGAAACTGTATAGCAAAGGAAACATTTGGGCCATAAACTAAGGGCCATAAAAACAGCTTCCAAAACTCGCACAAAAATGTTAATTTTTGATTGATTATCTCTCCTGAGAGCATTACCATATTTGGCAAAGGAAACTATGTCGTCATGTATCTTAACAACACTAAGCTTTTTGACTGCTGTGGGCTGTGGATTCATTTGTTGACCAGGACATCATTCACTTTTGTCTGCTTGCTACAAGATTTCAAGTGTTACCTACTTCTTGTTTCAATAGAATTTTATGTCACTGAGCTTATCCAGCATGTGATCATCACCACTTCTTGGTCTTCTTTTAAAAGAATTCAGTGATTTCAGAAAGCTGGTCTCTCTGGACTTGTCAGCAAATCCATTCTGTTAAGAAACTTAATTTCTACTCCTCTTGAGAATACTTTTCTTCAGGATTCATAGCCTTTTACATGCCAGGAAATGGCAAGATCCATTCCAAGAGGGAAGGCAAACTGCCAGTGCTTGCTTCCCCTCCAAAGGAAGTTAGTTCCTACCTTACTGAACACACAGAGCAGTACTCAGTATACACTACTAAAGCAAATACGATGTAGGTTGGCAAAAAGTAACGGCACTATCTTTAGAAGTTTATCCCATATTATTTTATTTAATATTACAGATTATATATATTGTATGTCTTCCATTTACTTGTCCCTTCTTTTCCCCTTGGCAAAATTGCTCCTGAATGTTCTAGTTCTGACTTACCCACCACCTTTGCCAAGCCCTTTCAAAGTCCATACAGACTAAAGCAAAAGCAAACTCTGCTCTGAGAGTTACCAAGGCATTTTCTTTGATAATACCAAAACCTGCACTTACTGCATCAGTTCAGTCACAGACAGAAACCAGCCTGCATTTATATAGCATTATTTCACCTATATATGGATGGCAGAACCCAAAGTAAATTGCTCTTTACCTTTCCTTTTCTGGCTATTACAGAAATGAACAGAACATTGCCTTACATTATCATTTTTACATTAGCACTACATCAGTATCCAAGGGTTGAGCTGTTTCCAAACCAGTCTCTAAGCAAATCTGCAAAGTATTAACTAAGTTGCTTTATAGGTTCGGTGCAAGATGAAAATGAGGCCATTTATGTAAGGGTTGGCTAAATAAATATGAAGAAAAACCACTAATAGCTCTTTAGTTTCACTCAAATGTCCTTAATGGATTTTTTTACTCTATAGCTTTGGAACAATAAAATAAACCAATTTCCTATCTTTTCCTCCTTTCATACCCTTAGGGGATCTTGACCTCGGAAACATTTTAATTATTTTCACTAGATTTTCATGCACTGCTATAATAATATTTGAAATAATGTTTAAAAATATTTTTTAAAGCTACTTTAACAATTATTTCATTTAAAAATTCTTTCTTAAGTAATTAAATTTATGTGTATTTTTTAAAATTTCAATACATTTAGTTTAACAACTGAGTGTTGTTGTTCACTTGAATAGAGGTACTAAGTCTTAAGCAAATATTGCCATTGGAACATAAACCACATAGATCAAAATTAGTTTTAGACTCCTTCACTTCTCCCACGTAATCGTTCTTGAAAAAAAAGGTGCATCAGTCATAAAAGACTATTTTGGTGGAAAAGACAAAGTTCATCCTTTACCAAAAATTATAAACAGAATTATAAAGTTTTGGAAGTAAAAGGCCCCAAATCCAATCTCACACTCCAAAGCAAAGCCTCAAGAACTTTCCAGCTAGAATGACAACACGATTTTCCCAAATTCCTAAGGATGCATTCTCCTGATGTGTCCATGTCTCTGAAAAAAGGCAATTTTAACATGTGAAAGATGGCATTAAGGATAATGCAGGGCTTGCTCTGTTCAAGTGATCTCAAACAAAAACCTTCCACTTTTTTTACAGGTGCCTCAGAAAGTTGCACATTAAAGCTGTTCAAGCTTTTACAATTGTTTGCAGTTGCACGGCCTCTTCCTGCACTATAGCCAGAATCAACCTCCAATGCAACCCCTCTCATGACTTCAGGTCTGTCCAGGACAGCTCCATCCTTGGCTGCTGCTCCACCAGGACTGAGCCAAAGGGACCAGACATGCCTGGGGCCTGCACACAGAGCACAGCATGGCACAGCCAGGTGTAGACACTGTCCACTGCAAACTGCACAATTCAAAAAGGGCTCCTTTTCAAATTCTTAAAATACTAAAGCAAGTAAATGATTGTCAGACTCAGTATTTATAGAAAATTAGCTGGAAAACAAAGATGACAACCCTCATCCGAGCTAGTTGCTTGTGGCCTGAAGGCTGAGTATTACTCAATTCTGCATGAACATGATTGCTACTGCATGAAACTTAATACCCATATGTTCAATACAAATCATTCTTCCAAGGCAGGCAATATTAAAAAGTAATAAACAGTACACTCCCTTAAATCAAAACACACAAGAATAGAAGACAATTCTGCATCATTATTAGCTTCCTGTTTGAGAAAACTTCAACAAAGGAAGAACATAAAAGAACACCATGTACTGAAGATAAGTACTTAATTTGCTACTCCTGAGCTCCCCTCTGAGAGAAGGGAAAGAATGATTTCAGGAGGAGGGGCAGATGAGATCCCAGCACACAGACTGGTATGCAATAGATGCATTTCATGAAACTTGGCATACATTTAATTTGATACCATTTTCTCCTGTGCTATAAAAATAATAAGAAAAAATAAAAAATGTCAATGCTGTTAAAAAAGCTTGAAAGTTAATTATTCTCTAATCATTCTAGCAAGTCCATCTGGCAGCTTCACAACTGCAACACTTGAAATCCAAGAGTGTTCCCTTTGCCAGCAAAAGGTGCTATTATGGCTATTGCTGTGTTTGAAAATCTACTTGGAAATTCTAAAGTCTCATTAAACCACTGACTAATTTGACATGATGGCAAGTATTCATAAGATACGGAATCAGGGACAAATCAGGGACAAATCCTTTCTCTGATCACTTTATGAAATGTGCACACTCAGAAGTTACCCTAAAAAAACCCCATTCAACCAGTATATCATTAGTACCAATAATGTATGTTTTACATATCCTGCATTCAGGGAACTATTTTCTCTTTTCTTCCTCATGTGGCTTTAGCCTGGGCAATTACTGTTTCTTCTTCAAGCAAAAGAAATTTATTTCAAAACACTAATTTAGAACCCAGGGCTGTTGAAGAGCAGCATCCTTCCTTCTTCTGTAAACAATAAAAAACAACATCAGAAGTTAATGATAAGAAATTGCTACAAGTATGTGGATCCTGAGAATCCACTATGGTCAAAATTCAATAAAGCTTTTCAACACTTCCAAGTCCCATGACAATTCATATTTCTCAGACATACAATCATATATCTTCATGAACTTGAGCCTATGCCTAAAAGTACAAGCACAGCTATGCATAAGGAATTCTCCATGGCAAAATACTAAGGAAACCATAAAGCATGTCTGACCAATATTGAATTTACTTAGTGAGGTTTAACGGATGACTGAATTAAGAGTCAAATATTCCAAACTGGTATAAAAAGCAACTTTACTGAACAACTTATAAAAAGGAAAAAATATCATTTGAGGCCATTAAACAAATTATATGACCAATAGTGATAAGAGCTCAGTAGAATGTTTGCCAAACATCTTGCTTGTTCACAATGTACTCAGTGAAAAATATACCAGACAGGTATTATATAGGCAACCTCTTAATGAAAGTCAATGTAAAAATAGCAATTATTTTTCCAACTACTCTCTTCCCTGCCAATTTCCCAAAATGCATTAAGGACAAGGATTCCATAAATCACTTTTCAGTCTCATTTTCAGGTTCACTGTCTCCACTATCACTGTCTCTTCCAGGGTGTTCTGGCATTTTTCGATGTTCATCCATTTCATCCATATTCAATTCTCCTTCCTTCATCGTTTCTTCTACTACTTCATTTTCTTCTGCTGCATCTTCCTGCATGCCCTGAACTTCACCTTCTAATTCAGTCTCTCCAGTTTGTGGCGGTTCTGGTTCTTCGATCATGGCAGGTGGGGGCAGTAAATGCTGGATGATTGAAAAAGGAAAGATTTTAAGTTGTTACACTTCAGTTTGAACTGCTAATCTTAAAATTAGGATTTTGTATTAGATAACAAGTGAACAACAAACACTTAAAATTTAGAAGCTGTAATGATTTATAAGCACTTCATGACTATATATAAAAAAATTAGAATAATGGTCATAATACAGTCATCTTAGATACATTTTTTTATTGAAAAGAGGGTGTTAAAATCTTAGGACTTCCAATTCAAAGACAGAAAACATATTTCATTATCCCAAACACTCAGACAAGTAATAGGATTATGGTACATCTTGGAGCAATATATATATTTCTACCCCAATCTCATCTGTTACCATTTCAAACTCCAAGATATGGTTAACTTGGTTTTTGATGCCATCAACAGGCCTGTCTTTAACAATTAATACCCATAATTTCCTTTTGCAACATCTTATAAAATACTATGTGAATATTATCTGTACTTACACAATTCAAGTTTCACTAACAGTTAAACAATGCTTAAATATTTTCACACAACACTTTGAAAAAGTAATTTTGTGTATTCCAAACTTTCAACCAAAGAAGAAGTTTATAAAATATTATAGGCTGGAATGGTAGTCAAGTAACACAACTGGACAAAAAATACCTGGAATGCATTGAGCTGAAGAGTATGGATGAATGCTATAAACTACAGGCTGAACAGAAACACTCCTACTTCTTGCACTCTGACATTATTTAAGGACATGATGGATATTTCTTCAGGGTATTTTTGATCATTTTAATGAAATGCAATCTTGAAAAACTTGATGATTGTTTTGCTCAAAAGGCAACTTCGTATCACATGACAAATAAGGTGTTTAATTACAGTGAAGTTTTACCTTCAATTAGATAACACTAATATTAAAAATTTGCACAGGCAAATCTACGAATCAATTGTGATTACCAGCATTGATTAAAAAAGCATTTTCTATAGACTTTGAAGTTATCATACTGGTCTCTACATCTATCTGTGCACAGGAAAGTGCAATTCCAAACCAAAATCTTACAAAAATAAATCCTTGATGTATGAGAAAAACTCAGACTTTGGGGACTTACTTAGATGCACATTGTGCTTTGTGACAACTACTGTAAAGACCAGTGTAAAGAAAAAGGAAAATAATAATGTTGTAGTGAACATAATACAAGAAATTTAATGCCAGCTTTGCTTTTTTTCAGTAGTTCACTTCTCTGCTTCTCCTGCAAGGAGAATGTGATTCATTGTCACAGTAGGAAAACAGCAGTTTTGTAACTAATTTTAGCTAGCAATGGATAAGATTAGGATGCCAAAAAGAGTAACAGGTATTTGCAGTAGAACTGGGTCCATATTTGACTAAGGTGTCCAGCAAACACTTTGTGGTAAAATTTAGATGCCAGCATCTGCTTTTCAGGACATGTATATACTTCCCTGTTTTGACAGGGCTATTCATTTACATCGAAATGTGGCCCATCTACTGGACAATCTACTAAGTCTTCATCACGTAATGTTTTGCATGGTTTAAAGATCTCCAACCATACTAGAAAAACTGGCTTCAAAGCAAATCTTGTCAGGTGCATATAGGGTTTCTAAAAAAACAGTGTGAGTTTACTTCACTACTACTAAAAAAAATTACAGTAAAAGAAATTCTAGTAGCATCCTCTTTGTATATCCCTTTTTCTTTATAGCACACAGGTAATTACAGCATTTCTCCAAAATAGTCAGAAAGTATCCTCTCTGTCCAGACAGCCTGGAAAAGGCTTTTTCTGGGTACCAAAACACTTCAAATTTGGCTGAAGCTTTCTCTCAGAAATAAAAATAAAATCCAGAAGTTACTGGGTAAGAACCGCAGAGAAAAATAAATGTTCTGTTTGAAATTCTGACATTCAGTTGAAAAGGTTTTGAGTTCTGTTCTCTATTGATTACACTGTTCCATAGATGAAACATGCAAGTGAAAGAAAAAAAAAAGGAAGGGGATGTGACAGAGACATCCTTGCATTAAAGAATGGACCTCGATCTCTTAGACTATCTGTTCAAGGACAATCATGTTCACGCTCTCTTCCCACAGTCAGCTAATACGGAGTGTCTTTTTACATCATTTTTTTCCACTTTTGGAAATCTTTCAGAAGAGCAAAAACCAATAAGGGAACTTTAGAGTACCATGAAAGATTATAGGTAATAAAATATATAGGTATTATGTAATACATGAAGAATAATACATAGGTATTATGAAGATGACAGACCCCAGACACTGTGTGAAAGCTGATGCAGTTAAGGGGTAGCATTTAAGACCATTCCTTTTTGCTTTAACTACCTCTAGGCTTTACAGATCCAAGTATGCTCAGTACACTATCTAAGCTACCTTAATGTTCCACTTATTTACATGAGACTAGAAAGACTTTCTGATGGGCTCTAAATTCTGCTTCAGGGATTAAACACTGACAAAATTAGGTACAGGAGTGTCTACAACTGCTTTGCTTGATGTTGAAATAGGGCTGAAAAAAATTGCTCCAGAACAAAAGACACTACAGCTGCAAACCAACCTGGATAATAGGGTGATTTAACAGGGTTAAAATGGTTTCATGATCTGGTCTTGCTCTTACAAAACATTATTACATCATGCAGTGGTGTTATAATCCAACTAGCTGAAATCCCACACTTACCTGAAATGTAACACGCAAGTTTCCTTCAAATTAACACTAGACAAGCTAGTTCTTTAATATTAATGAATAATATTTTTGGCCCAGACAAAGCAATCAAGGCACTTGTCATCAATTACTGATAGATTTGGAGCCTTAAATTGAGGCTTAAAACACCAGAAGATACAGCTTTTGCTACTGCAATATTTTACAAGACCTCAATATTCTCACTTCCAGTCACTAACCCTTTTTGAATTTTAAATATAACAGAAACAGACTCAAATCTCAACAGCTTCTCATGCCATTTTACTGAAAAATTATTTTATTTTAAATGCTTTCCAAAAGTTTGAAGGTCCTTACCCGTTGATGGTGGTGTGTACTCTGTATCATGTGCATATACATATTGTACACAAAGTTAGCCATTTGAGGCATATTCTTAATAACATGTATTTGGTGAGCTGGTCTTTCTCCATTCTAAGGAAGGGGGAAAAAAATGGACATTCAGCAAACAAAGAAAAACAACCATTATTCAAAGGTTATTTAACTATATTAGAAATCAAAAGCCCCAAGAAATTGAAAAATGGTTTTCAAAGAAACAAAAAAAAAAAAAGGTGAATTCTCTGGAAAATTTGGAAGCATAGGTCTTACATTTTGGGGAACTGGCTTAATCATGATACTGCAGCCTGAAGAAGAAACTTTAAAAGGAGAGGCTGGGTTCTGATTCTTACTCCATGAAGTAAATTTTGGACTTGAGTAATTTAACATACTAAAAACACAAATTGTTTATGATCAGATTAGGATTTAGCCTCTTGCCTGCTGCAGCCCAGCTCTTTACTCACAGTCACTGGCCTTGCTTGTTGCATTCTTGTTGCACAGTTGATCTGAAAGTTTCAATTGAAAGGGCTCTCTCCCATACTTGTCAACAGTATTTAAGACCAGGAAAAGAGTTGTAACTGAATTTTTGGTGAATGCAGGCATCCCTTCTCAAAGCTTCAGAAAGCAGAGCAGATATGCCCCTTTGTTTCTTTATTTAGCATGCTGTTCTGTGTGCCCTGTGCTAAGATCCTCAACACAAACCTTTCCCCAAACATCTAGTGCATATTAAAAATTAGGTTTTTGTACTTATGAACCTAGCTCAGCAGCAAAACTCTTGTGGCACTGAAACAAATTTTAAGAGGAAAAGAAATTAATCTGTAATCCTGAATTACTGAGTTACATGTATTAAATGAGAAATGAGTAGCTTTACGTAGCTTTGCCTGAGAAATCACATAATTTTGTTTCACAACAAGACCGAAAACACATAAGAACTAAAAAAATATTTTGATCACAAAAGAAAAATACTGAATCATTTACACAAGCATAAATCAGCAAAAAGCAGGCACAACAGTTACTGATACTTAAGTTATACTGATAACTAACTTTTGTGGAAACGTTACTTAAAACCAGCTGGTGTTTATCATGACAAAAGATAACTCTAAGGAGGTATTCATATAATCACAGAATCATTACAGTTGGAAAAGACCTCTAGTATCAACAAAATCCAATCATCAAGTGGCACTGTTGAGTTCACCACTAAACCATACCCTCAAGTGCCACATGCACACCTTTTTTTAAATACTTCCAGGAACGGTGATTCCATCATTTCCCTGGAAATTCTGGTCCAGTGCTAAGAAGTAGATGCACCGGTCTAGCAGAGAAACACTTTCACCTCTTACAGTCCACTGAAAAAAGTGAGCAAACACAAACACCCATTACAGATACCAAAATCCAGTGCAGCTGTTCCTACCTGTCTTGCAGTTGGAAAACATTCTGTGGGAACAATATGGAGGTGAAGTGGTCGAGCTGTGAGTTGGCTGAAAGCTGGAGTTAGCTCAAAACAGTTTTGAAATAGTGACACCCTTGCGAAGATATAAAGTCCAAGTCTGGCTCTTGACATGGCAACGACTAATCGTCGTACGTCCCTTCAGAAAATAAAATCAATCATGTTTTTTTTCATTGATGTCAGACTTGCAATAAAAATAACTAGAAGTACATGGGACTGTTAAAAGAAATACAAAATCATCTGCCCAAATAATATAATGTCTTTAGTTTTTTTCCCTACATATTGTTTCAGTAACTAGCAAATCCTAGTACCATTATATAGAAACAAATATATTGGTTCACTGTAGCAATAACACTTTGAAAAACTGCCTTCTACTATTTTCCTACACCTCAGAAGTTGAATGCAACCATTGAGAAAAAATCCCAATAGCATTTCTGTATGTGAATGACTAAAGATGAATTTGATAACTCATCTATCTACCTATGATCAGACACGTCTTCCTCCATCGCATCCCAAACCAGAAGTGCAAACATTTAAAACTATACACAATAATGCAACTTATGCAATGATCAAACAGTTCTGATGCAAAAGAAATAAAAATCTCAATTACAGGAAAGGATCTATGAGAAAATTTAAGCCTGCATTTGCTCAAAAAATACTACAGTCCTATAATTCTACTAGGGTGAAAACAAGGTCAACCTATATGCAGCAACATAAACTAATTATAGGGTAAGAGCCATTATAAAAGGGTAAGTGCTCAGAAGAGAGTACCAGACAGTTATAAAAGGAAGTCTGTCTGAACTTCATTATACACATTAGCATTGAACTTCACTTCTACTACATACTCATAAAATAGAATCTTTTGTATAATGGACTACATACATATTTCTGTATCTGATACAGAGTACAAGTACTGCTATGGCACTACAAGATGTTCTTACATACCTCAGGTGGCCTACAGCTTTGGTACGCACTAGGGAAAGCAGAATATAATCGTTCTGTTGGCCTTGAAACCTGTCCACAGTTGTTACCTACAGAAATAAAAAATAAGAAAAAAACGCTATAGGTTAATTTTTGCCATTTCAATTAAAACACGACACCAAAATTTTAACATCAACTTTGGACTGAGATTGCAGTAAACAAGAAGAGAAAATTCTTTAACTGATTTAGCTGGCCTCTAACAAAAAGCCTGGGTTTTTTTCTGGAATACACTGGGAGGAGCTTTTTTTTGACTGTATACTGTTTCTTTTATTTCTTTTTATTTAAATTTGTCAGAGAAGTGAGGTACTAATACCAAAAGATTATGGAAGCCATTAGCTTTGCAATACAGTTTTAACCTGCAGAATTAGCACCAGGTATTTATAACTGTATTATTTATTTGTTTCTTCAGATTAATGATCTATTCTATCAAATAATTTCCACTCTGGGTGGACCTTTCTAATGATGAGATTTTGGGGAATGATGTTATTACTGCTGACAAATAAATGACAAAAAAGAGTTATTCTGTCCCACATAGACTGTAGTCTTTTCACCTTCACTGACTTCATTCTGTCAAATTATCAACACACAAAAAGAAGGGCACTCATCTATGAAATTCCTTAGAATGTAGGCTCATAAATATGTGTGGTTAAACAGGAAATACTTCCACTGATACCTGTTTAAGTATATCTTCAATTAGCCTGATTTTCAATATGACAATTTAAAACCACAGAAACCAGAACTATTGCAATGACTGATATAATTTCAAAGTCACCTTGTTTGGCCTTCCAATTAAAGGATTGTTTCCACATCGCTGATTAATGACATCACGGATCAGGTGCTTCTGTCCATTATATGTTGTCAGGATACTTATCCTGTCTGCAGGATAACCAAGCAGGCACATATACATGAAGACTGCCACAACATACTCTGCCTCACCAAGATTCTAAAGTTTCAAATAAGAGAAAAAGACATGGAGAAACAGACAGAAAAAGGGTTACTCATCTTGTAAGGTTAGAAATAACACCTGTGACATTGTCAGGTATTTAGACAAATAATTTAGTGCTCAGAGAAATGTCCCTAAATCTGACGATTATTTGCTCACTTCATACAAGCCATTTTGAAAGAAAGGAAGAACCACAAGTAGGTTTAATACCTGTGGTATCATTCTCACTCCTTTTCAGACAACTGCTGAAAAGGCACTGATAGAAACTTTTCAATATTTACTCAAAAGTTCCAGTCAGCCAAAAAAGGTGCAATGACTCACTCTCCAGTAAACTGAAAGTATGAACTAGTTGCACTAGTACAAAGTCCTTTCAAGTATTAATTAGGAGACAGACATCTGGATTATGAAATCCAGTTATTTCCACTGCAGGCCATCCTATTCAATTACAAATTACCAGTGCTTGTTTCATATATTGTAACTTTCTCTCTCTGTCTTTACTTTATGAGTCTGTCCCAAAGTACCACTCTCCTGGCTACAGGAGGCTTTGTTCTATTTCCAGACTGAAGTTATTCATAGCCTATTTAAATCCATTTTCTGTCAACAAAAATTATCTTTCAGGTTAAAAAGTTGTTCTCAAATGCTGACATTTACTCCTGCTCTATTTATACAAGGAATTTTATCCCCACTTGGCGTGTGTTTGAATAGGCTGGACATACCAGCCTCATTTATTTTTTCTTACTAAGTGGGCTCCGCATTACATGGAAAATGCAGTTGCCAGGCATATCAAACACCTGTGGGTGTAAAGCTATTCTACAAATTTTAATCCCCTGTAACTCTGAAAAGAAAAGCCCAAATTCATGACAAGAACTATACATGACAGCAATCTGTTATCCCATGAAAAACCTTGAATGCCACCAACATACTCTTCTAAATATCACTCAATTATCAAGATCACCAAAAAAAAAGTAACAGTAGGAAGTATTAGAAGAGTGTGCACATGAGAATATTGATATAATGAGAAGTGTGTTCTGTGTCCTCATGTCAGTGTTTTTCATCTTCTTTAGCCAAAGAGTGGTCTAAAGTAGTGCTTGCACTCTCAATTATCAGCACTCCTTCCATCTGTTTGTGTTCCACTGGACAACTTTTTAATACTTGCATGTTACAGTTTCAAAAATAAAATCAAAATGGTCACTCCAAACAATCCTGTCCTCAATCCAGCAATGGAATAAAGTGGATTATGATTAACCATTGCTTTCTTCTCTAGCAGGACACTAATTTGTACTGAAAAGTATTGAGAAGAACCCAAGCAAAACCTACGAATGTATTTCATATCTTTTTAAAAACATAGATTCACACAAGCCTCAGTGATCTTCAGAGGGAAAATGAACAAGAATATTATCATCATAAAGTATATTGTTTGCTTTCCATAATATTAAGCAGAATATCAGGTGTAAACTCTGTGTTTGAATTAAACTCCTTAACTTGCACATCACTCCAGCTCTAACTTTGTCCCAAAGCTGAAGTTTGCTGTTTTAGATGCCATAGTTTGTTTCACCAGTTTTTAAAACAAGAAAAATAAAAGGACTGAAAATATAAGCATCTCACTACAAGTGTAAAATGTTATTTAAGAGAAATAGAGACTGTTGATGATGGCTTAATTTCAAAATTTAGTTGAGAGTTTGAACATTTAGTTGAGAAACTCCAAGATTAAGGCATTTTGGCAATTTACTTCATCCTCCATGTCTCTACAGCTCTTATGTATGCTTCTAGCAGTACTGTTTTATTCTTTAATGAATGGGCATTTTAGAATTCCTACCTATAGATCAAATCAACACAATGACTCTCCAAACTCAGGTATGAGCAACCAAGCAAACTTCAATTCTTTGTATTCAGGGGAAGTGCTACTACTAGTGTTTTTTTCACTATCATGGTACAGCTGAATTACAATGGACTTTAATTTGCCTTAGGTCAAAATTACATTTTGTAATGAATTATACCAAGTCTCATCCCTCCCATAACAAGGAGAAAACAAAGTCATTTACTGAGCAAAAGCCCCAACACAATGTTTTAATTTTCAACATTCAAAACTCATTAAAAGGAGGAAAAAAATCACACACGACTAAATTATCTGAGAACATGAATTGAATGTTAGTTTACTGTTTTTCATAGTCTGTCTTCACTGCAGATTTAGATCTATTGGCCTATTGAGGTTAATGAATTACACATGTAGTACTTCCCTTACCTGATAGAAATAAGGATTGGGTTCAGACTCTCCTACACCATTGAAGTCTTCCACATTTATAAGCTGGAAGTCATACAAAAAGCCAGCATTGGCTGTTCTGAACTCCGGCAGAAGCTGCACGTGAGGCAGGTTACCCAGGTTCTTGTAGCGCCAGTTGTAGAGGTTGCACAAACTGTTCAAAACCACAGACACACAGCACACAGAGTGAGCTAGAGCAGACTCTTTAACTCTTTTGAATGAGTTCAGATGCATATGAGATAAGGGCTTCTGCAGGTTTTCAGTGAAAAGAATAATTTTGCTAGGCAGCCTGTACATACATAAATTAACACACTTGAACAATCTATCCAGCAATATTATTTTTAGGTTGTGATTCTGTTTTGGTCTCTTTCACTGAAAACTTCAGAGGCCATATCGAGGTGGCACACTCAGGTTTAAGTCTGTTCCTCTTGATCAAACTACAAGTTTTGCGAGAATTCATGGGTAACAAAACTTAAGGAATATTAATCCTTCTTTGCAAAACAGAAGGAATAAGGAAAAACTTATTTTCTGCATTAACTGTGGTAAAGCTTCTTACAGTAAAAAGAAATTGATTTCCTTATTTATTTTGTGTATTTCCTAGCATTAACACAAGATATGAATGGAAACAAACAAAATCTACCTAATTCTGAATGATTCCTGATATTCATAAGATCAGTAATAATAACAAAATGTCTCATTCACAAATGCCTAACAATATCCAGACCAGAACAAGAAGCATACAGCTCATGGGAAAGCTACCTGTGATCGCAAAAGACAAAGCACAGGAAGCAATCTCTTAATCAAGAAATTACTTGCAAAGGGAAGGACTTCTGCTCTGTTATCCCTAAGAAGTTCAGTAAGATTTTGTAAAATAAACTTTATCTACCATCTTCAGATAAAATTTTCATTTCAAAAATCATACTGAACTGTCATACATAAGACTAGAAAATAATATTCTAGATTCCAAACATTTCCTACATGAAAAAATATAAGTTCTCCATATTGTTCACTACACTTTATGACTAAAAGAAAGACTTAGAACTAAACCTAGAGTAGCAAGATTTTATATGGAGTAATTTTCTCTTATTTCTCTTCTTAACATGACATCACAAATATGCAACTTACACAATCAATAAATCTGGTGCTTAAATTATCACAGTGAAATGAGAAATACATAGATAAAAAAGAAAAACTATTATACTACAGAGTTGCAGTATCTCCTTTACTATAAAAAAGGTTTTATGTTCTTGTGAGGACAACCTGCATGTGTCCAGTCTCTGGATGCATCTCTCCTGAAATACTAGAGAAAAGCACCTTTTACAGTCTTTAAGACAATTATTATATTCAACACAAAATATATCAGATTTTAATTTAACTTTGAATATAATAAATGTTAGTTGAGAAAAGAAGGCTTCTGTAAAGTCTCATTTGTAAAAAAACCCTGAACACTTAAGATGATTAAGTACCTTTGAATATAATTTTCATTAAAGTATTCATGCAACAGCAGACTACTACTATATAAAAAAAACAATGAAGAAATTAATCTGATTGCATTTCAGAGATGTAAAATCTGCCTTCCTAGTCTAAGCTGAAATCAAAATTCCAGCTTTGCAAACTCCTGTCCTAACAATAAAAACCAGTTTCTGTAGCTACGAGTGCCCTTCTCTCATTTTGAACTTGTTACTTTCTGAGAAGCTTGACAAAGGATTTTCTGTCTTACCTTGCTCTTGCTCTTCCTTGTGCATCCAAGTCAACAGTTGGCACTCCAACACGAACAAACCGTGTGAAAAGAGACTGTTCCATGTTGGAGTACTTTTGAAAAGCCATGTTCTTAATGACTGGTGGCAACTGATGATGGTCACCAATCATAATCCACCGCTTCAAACGACTGAATCCATCCTGGGGGTTCTAGAATTGAACAATTACACTATTGCAACTATTACACTATCATCAAGGCACTCAAAACACACTAAGAGTCAGATTGTCTGCCTTTGTCTAAGCCCTTCAGCATTTGTTTTTAAGCTACACTGAACTTCAGTCTTTTTAAAGACTACTAGCTTTCATCCAATTAGAAAGTAGACTTGTAAATAAAATCTCTTTTCTTATAAAATAAGTACCTTTATCTACTAAAATTAGTAGAGAAATATCAGAAAAAAGATCATATTATATTGCTTTAAAGGCCAAAATCCCTGATTACTACACAGTAGTAGCAGTTACCCCAGAACTGTCCTCTGAACTTTATTTTTTTGATTCTGAGGTAGTAAATATGAAGCATCTGAAACAATTTTTAGTGTTCAGATATCTGAGGCAACACTGAATCTGCCTTTCAAGTGCCTCTGTAGTTCATGTTTACTTCTGTAATTCTCATATAGCCTCTTCTATGATCAGGATGTGTCCCTAATTCCCATCTTGGCTCTTGGACTGAATGCTCTTCACAATTAGCATCCTGGAGACTTCCAGCTCCCAGATCCTTATTACACACTCCTGTGATAATTCCCTTTCCCTATGGGAACACTATTTGAGACAGAACATAAAGTTCTTTCTCCTGCCACTTGAGTGGAAGAGGTTTGAAGCTGTTTCTGATCAGATAGCAAGGAAAGAAAACTGAACTCTGGACTGTCTAATTCTTCAAGCCTGAAAATGTCTTAGTAAAAAACGTAAGAGGATGGAAATAATTTTTATTGGCAAGAATAAAAAAACACAAAAATCCAAAACTTTTTTTTTTTTTTTTTTTTTTTCCCTTGAAAGCTTCAGCTTTGGAGATGACAAAGCATTCTATATAGTTGTTCTGTACATATCAGTCATTTTAATCTTGGACAAAGAGGCCCCCCAAAATTCTGTTTTTAAAAATTTCTCACTGAGAAATTGCAAGTGAAGAAATCAAGTACTGCTACTCTGGAAGACTAGATACTTAAGTTTTGTTAAAATTAAAACCCACTCAATTTTCAAGGACTATTTGGATGCCTCATATAAATAAAATCATGGAATATCCCCCAGAATATGCCTCTATGGTGAAATGGTCTACTCTAATTACACAAACTCTTCAGTTTCTGCATTTTTCACATATACCTATTTTCCCTCATCTGCCAGATGCATCTGGTTATTCAATGCTCATTTAAATGTTTGGAAAAAAAAGTAAGATGCTTACTACATTGAATAAAATAATTTCATAATTAAAAACCAAATCAGTCAAATCAGTATGAAAGGTCTTACTAGCAAATATCAGTTCTGGGTTACTTTCTGCACATGGTATTTTTCATTTTAATATTCAATAGTGTTCAAGAACACAGAGTCTTATTTATCTTGTTAAGATCTTTTATGTTTCAAGTCTAACCTGCAACAGAAGAGGTATAAACGTTTCAATCTCCAGAATCTGAGCAGACTCTTCCATTAAAATGTTGTCATACTGAGGAAAAAAAAAAAAATGTAAAGAAATATCTGTAAACATAGTAACACCAATGAATGCATTTATTCAGCCTACCAAAAGAAAGCATCTATACTCCTTCAGATTTTGCTGGGTGGGACAGTTACAGTAGGATTTCACCTTACAGGCAAAATATCAGTATTACCAAATAGGCGAAGTCCTACTACATCATTGGCAGATCTCTCTGTACCAGTCAGGACTTACACTAGAAGGAATCCATGACTGAATTACATTACATGCTTCCTATATGCCATAACCACAAGAGAAAAGTCTTGTGCAGTGGAGCAAACTATTTTGGTATCTCTGCACCGAAACTGAAGAGGAGTGATCCAATACACTACATGATCGGTGAAAAATAATACTGGAAGAATTACTGGTGACCAGCTTTTGTCAGAAAAAATGACTGCACTAAATTAATAGTTATAGTTACCACTGCAGAGTAAAAATAAGCATTGCATCATAGTTATTTTTCCTCAAATTGTTAATTTTTTAGGTAAACAAAGCTAAATGTAAAGGCCATGTTTTTCTACCCAGCTCTGCCTCTATTTTATTAATCCTATCACTGCTGTTTATCATGTAATATGGCAAAGTAGACTTTATTTAAAAAAAGTTTAAAAAATATTTACCATTTTTGTATATACAGTAACTTAAAAGTGATTTAATCTTTTACTTACAGAAGTTATATTTTTCCTTCAGGTAAAAAATGCAATTCTAAATAATCTAGCTGCTTAGATTTGGGGCAGAGATAAAGATTTGTATGGGGTGGGGAATAGGAGAGAACCAACACCAAAATCAAGTAGTACAGTAATGCTAGTATAATCATTACTTTGAATCCTAATTCAACCAGATCACGTCGTTTCAGAGCAGCATGAGTACAAGTCATGGCAATGATTTTTGCTTCTTTCACCAACAGGTATTTGGATCTATCCAGGCCACTGCGGAGAAGTTCAAATGCTCTGAATTCCTATGGCAGACAAAAGAAAAGTCTTGAAAGTCAGAATATGAAAAAATATCACTTATAAAATGACCACTCAAACTGTGTGGCCACCTTCTTGATATAATTGAACAAGAAATCTGTGACCTTATGTACTGTAAACAATCAAATCTGAATAATTTGTTGTGGTTTCCGGGTTTAGCATATTTTGAAAAACAATCTTGTAAAAACCTATGAAAGAACTCTTCCAACCTGTACGTACATATAAATTTGCAGACAAATATTCAAATAATCCTGAGGAACTCTCTCAGAATCCCCCAGAATTTTCTTTTACTGTATCTTCTTGTTTCCTACTTTACTGCATCATAACATGGCATCAAATTCAGTAGTAGAAAAATCATTACAGTTAATATAATCAAATGATACAAAAATCACCTTTACTCTAACTCTTAATAGCCTCTTAAACAATTCTGGCAAAACCAGAAGATAATCTCTTTTAGGTTATCTGATTAAAGGCAACTCACTGTAAACACAAAGACCCTGTGAGGATCAGAGAAGTAGTGAGAGGTGTGCCTCATCAGTGAAAATGGATGCAGAATGATTGCTTCCCACAATCCAACTAAAAGAGACCAGACCCTTGTCCCTATTGTGCAACATACCTATATTACTCAAAGGTGGAAATTCTCACCTTGCAAGGTAATGAAGTTGCCTAGATGAGTATATTTCTTCTAGGATGTAGGGAAAATGAAAATTTTGGAATTGTGTAGTGTTTCTACAGGATTAGCCAGATTCACTTGCCTTTAACAGTTATATATCTTACCTCAAGCTGAGTGAATATTTTCTTAATATGTCTAAAACACCCTTCAGCAATTTCCATATCTTCTTCATATGATTTGCCTTTGAAAACTGGTTGAGGAGCATTTGCAAAATACTGGTGAAAAGGAAAGAAACTGGAGACATCTGCAACATCTGGCGATTTTCCACCTTTAACTTTAACTTTACTGATATACTCCTCCCAGCGAGACATTACCTATGACAAAGCAAGATTTATATCATAAGGTTTTTGGGAATATACAGGCTTGCAGCATAGCGTTTAAAAAAATATCACAAAAGTAAGGTATGTCTTAGGTAGCATTTGACCTTGTGTCAGAATGACATTTTTGAAGTTGTGGAGGGTTGAGCTTGGCTGGCTGCCAGACTCCCACTCAGTTCCTCTCACTCCCTCTCTCCAACACAACAGTGGGTGAAAGTAAGAGAGAAAAGCTTATGGGTTGAGATAAAGATAGGGAGATTGCTTAGCAAGTAGCATCACAGACAAAACAGGGAAAATTAATTTCATTTACTGCAAATTAAAAACAGAGTAAGATGGTGAGCAACAAAGACAAAACCAAAACCATCTTCTCCACTCCCTCTTTGTTTGCAGGCTTAATTTCATTGTCAATTTTTGTACCTTGTCCTACCCTGAGCACTACAGAAATAATGGTTCAAGTTCATAACACCACATCTCTGCCACCCCTTCCTACTCACACTTCTTCCCTGCTCCAGCATGGGATTTCAACAGGCTGCCTCTTCCTTCAGGATATATCCACCTGTTCAGCATGGCAAACTCCATGGGCTGCAGTGTTGGTATCTGCTGTGCCACAGCCTCTCCACTGGCTGCAAGTGGGAAACCTGCTTTACCACGGCTGTCTCCACAAGCTATGCTCCGATGCCTGGACCACCTCCTACCCCCTCACTTTCTTCTGACCTGGGTGTATGGGGTTGTTCCTCATACTGCCCTCTCTGCCCTCAGCTGCTGCTGGTTTTTGACCTCTTCTCAATGAGGTTTTCACAGAGACACCACCAGTGTCACTGTGGTTTCAGCTTTGGTCAGCAGTGGGTCTGCTGGAGCTGGCTGTGTCCTGCACAGGGCAGCCCCTGGCCTCTTCTCAGAGGTCATTCCTACAGCCAACTGCTACCAAAACCTTGCCACATAAACCCAATACAGAAGTAAACTTCTTTATTATCTCCACTTACACTACTTTGATTTAAATACCAAGTGGGATTCATTTAGGAGTAAACTGAACCAGATGACCTCTAGCACTGTTCCTTGCACTCTTCAACACCTAACGTCCATTTAATGTTAAGGTCCACACTAAAGATAGCCCAGAGTAACTTCTGTAAAAACATACACAGTAAGTGCATTCAGTCCTAAGTGCCCCTCTGTATGCCTCCTTATGCAACACTAATTGCAAATGTAGACCACGTCACTGAAAAATACATGGAGAAGAAATGAGGGACATAACATACAACATAAAATTTTGTACATTTGATTCCACACTGGTATTTAATGCTATAAAAGTCTCCTATCAGGACCATCAAGTAGCTCCTCTAATGCTTGTCCAAAATATAAAGCAGCCCACAGATTTTCCTATCTGAAAGAGGCTTCAGGTTAGAATCTTTGCTGGCATTCATGAAGGGCAGCAATGACTTGGTGAGTCAGCAGGCAGGATTTAAAACAATAACAACACAAGCAAGTCATGCCGCAATTTTAACTTTAGCTGTTACTGTATTGTGAATCACCAAGGAAAATGCCTTTTACTTTTACTCTCAACTCTGAAAAATTCATTGCAAGTTTTACAAAGTGTTTCGTAACATATTTAGGTCGTACAGTCTCTGCAAAAGTATTTCAGTCCTTACTTGGTATAAGAAAAAGTGGCCAGCTGTTTCACAAGTGTAAGATACATCTCCTGGGACTCCAAGACTCTCTTGTAATCGCCCAACTTCTCGTAGAAGTTCAAGTCTTCGAGCCAGCACATAATTAACTCTTCCATACCTACAAAAAGGATTACATAGAGCATAATTTTTATTAAACTCAAAATAGTATCTAAGTATCACAGTGAGGGATCACAAAAAACCCCATCACTCTGCCAAAATCTGTCACAACTACAACCTCGTTCCAAAACCTAAGAATCTGCTACATGCTATTTTTAGTAGTAGAGCCCTAACAATTCACAAAGACAAACTATCAAGAAATAAAGTTCTCACAGGAGTGCAGCCCACCTTCAAATATATTCTTCAACCTTTACCCCTCCCTCTTGAACTATCAGAGCCCATAGTGCTTGCACAAATATCCCACAGGTCTGGAGTTACCTTGAGAAAGTGTGAAAATAGAAAATGCAGTGTCTTAAAGAAAACTCTTTTTAATGGTGAACACTGCAGTTCAAGGAATATACTAAACTATGGATACTACTAAATAAATATCTGCTATGGCATCATTTCAGTAAGTTTCTGGTTATCAAGTTTCTGGAATAATTTGACTACGTCAAAGTACTCAATTTAAAATAAAAAAATCACAAGATATTTATTTTGCTAAATACTGAACTATGTACATGTGGGTAGTTTCTAGTGACTATATATAATTTTTACTACAGCTTTTGAAGTCAAAGTATTGCTATGATAATCCAGTACTGGACAGTTCAGATATTTCCAGTGCACGACCATTACACCCCGCTTACATTTATGAATGTGTGTAATCCTACTGACGTCAACTGGACTAATGCACGACAAACATACAAATATTTAGAACGGGTTCTTAAATCTTTGTGCTGATACAGAGTTGATAGCTTTCCTTACACATTTATCTTCAAAATGTGTTATGAATGAACTACTTAACTTTGAGGTTAAGTAGTTTAAGAATAATTCAAATCAGAAAGTTTAATTTCATGCAAAAATCACCATGATAGTAGAAGTGATACCGTATTTGTACAAAAAACCTGTAACTCTAAGAATCTACCTTATTATTCTAATTTCTCTCACAGATTAATTGTATGAAATGTATAAGTGTAAAAAAAAAAATTATCTGTTATTAAAACAGTTGAGTTTGTGAACAAGCAAGGGACTGATTCTGCCTTTAGATGAGTGCACTCTGTGTTACTGGGATTCAATAATATGAGAAGGGTAAAACTTGTCCAACACAGCCCCTTCCCATGGGAGGTAAACTGGATTCAATAGAAACATCTTGCTGCCATGTTTATACAAGTGAGTTTATCATTAGCATCTCCTTTCTCACCTGCTGAAATCTTTCTCTGTCTCTAATTCCTCTTCTCCATGACCCAGACGCAGAAGGTGACGCTCATCAATGTCTAGAGCCATGATTTTTTCGAACAGCTGGTTTAAAGCCTAAAGATTGACAAGAACAGGAGAAAAGGTAGTTTTTAGAAGTTCAGAGGCTCTTACAGGGGAAATCTGAGGAATTATTGGTAAGTAAACCAGGAGATTATACCTATTTTACTATAAATGGAAGCCAAAAGAAACAAAAGTTAATTTTGTTTTAACAAAACGAAGTTAATATTGAAACTCTGAATCATGACAACATGGAAATTAGCCTACTAACATCCTTTTATTTGCATACTCTATACAACATTTACATTTAATTTTACAATTGTAAAATTTAATTCTATCACATAGTAAACTTAGTTGATAAAGCTATCAATTTACAAAACTGTCTCACAAACACCAATTTTTGTATGATGACATTAAATAATTTAACTTTTACTGCACATGAAAGAAGTACTGACTGTCAGGTACTGTGACTCTATCCCATCTTGAATAACTGAATTTTGCTTAACTAAACTTCTAGGTGTGCTACATCTTCTACCTTTAACTCTTCAGTTCTCGAGTGGCTTACTATCAACTAACTCCTTTATTTCAAAGGAGCAAGCTTGTAAGCACTAAATCATCAAGTTTTGAAAATAAGAATAAACACAAACAAGCTCCACTTGCAGCTGCAAGTCATGTAAACATCTTAAAGTGCAGCATCAAAGCATGGGTAATGTACTCTGCTGAGATACAGTTAATTTCCCAGGGCACAACTTCAAGTTAATGTCCTCATTATAGTCTTGTCTGGTAAGAAGAGTCTTCTATCTGCCTCAAAGTATTTCCTTCTTTTTCTCCTCAATGGACATGTTCTCAACCTTATCTTTAACCTGTCACACTCCTGCAACCCATTGCAGACTGGTCTGTATTATTCCAGGCTGTAACTCCTCACCAAAACAATACCCCTTCAACCATTCTTTGATCTTGCTTTGATGAAAAATTATGAATTATTTTCCAATGGTACATTCAGTTAAAGTAACTCATAACTGAGACTGGACAGGCTAACCAGGGAGACCACAAAACAGCTGATCCTGGTTTCCAAACAAATCATTCCAAATCAGACACAAATTTCAGAGACTCACAGAATATGCTGAGTTGGAAGGGACCCACAAGAATCATCAAGTCCAACTCCTGGCCTTGCACAGGACACCCCAAGAGTAACACCCTGTGCCTGAGAGCAGTGTCCAAGTAATTCTTGAGCTCTGTCAGGCTGGTGCTATGACCACTCCCCTGGGGAACTTGCTCCAGTGCCCAAACACCCTCTGGGTGATGAACCTTTCCTTAATATCCAACCTAAACCTCCCCTGACACAACTTCAGGCCCTTCCTTCAGGTCCTGTCACTGTACACAACAGAAAAGAGATCAGGGATTGTCCCTCCTCTTCCCCTCATGAAGAAGTTGTAGATCACAATGAGGTCTTCCTTCAGTCTCCTCTTCTCCAGGCTGAACAGACCAAGTGACCTCAGCTGCTCCTATTACGGCTGCCCCTCAAGTTCCTGCAGTATCTTTATTGCTCTTATTTCAACACTCTTTAATAGCTTTATGTTTCTTGTATACTGTAATGCCCAAAACTGCACACAGAACTCAAAGTAAGGCTGCACCAGTGCAGAGTAAAGTGAGAAATTAAGAGGAAGACTCTTAAAAACTTACCATTATTCATTTTTTTTACTTTTATATATGCTTAAGAATTAGCAGTTCAGTTAAATTAGACTCCATCTCTTATGAATGGGAAGCAAATACTCATCTGAAGAGGCCTTCCCTTTGGAGCATGAAGCACAGACCAACCTGTGTCTGCCAAAGCTAATCAACAAAAACCTGCCATGCTTACAATGCATGTGCAACTTTAAGAACCAAGCAGAGTATTTTTCAAAATACTTTCTTATTTTTGACCTCCAACCAATTAAACACACTGAAAACTTCAGATAAATAGTTTAGAACTACATACCTGAAATTCAAAAATTTAATTTCACATTATCAAACTAGCAAAACTGCACACAAGTCGACTCAAGTTTCCATTGTTAGGAGACAAATGCAATTCCCAAATTACTGATCTCAATACCTACTGTTCTTCTATACTGAAATTACAGGAAAATTCCACATATGACTGACACTTTACCTGATTAGAGTGGGTAACTATTAAAGTTCGTTGTTCTGGGAAATTATGATAAAGGTTGGATATTATCTGGACTGCTACATCAGTTTTTCCAGTACCAGGTGGACCCACTACCTAAAATCAAACACACACAGAAATAAAACCAAACAAAAATCAATACACAATTTATCAGAATACTTCACAATAAAAAAAAAAGTAAGTTGGCTGGGAAAGAGAAAACCCAGAACAACCTCACAAGACACTGACATTACATACTGCTTCCCAGCACTGGTGAGCTTTCAGACCAAATACAACATATTATAAAGACTTCTTCAGACTATTTTGGCAGATTCCTGACTAAAAGGAATATGGTTATCTAGCACAGGAAGTACTAATATGAAACCAGATGTCCCCAGAGAAAAAAGGTATTTTAGCCTTAGAACAGGTTAAATGGGGGAAACAGTGAAAAAAAAAAAAAAAAAAAAAAAAAAAAAAAAAAAAAAAAAAAAAAAAAAAAAAAAAAAAAAAAATTAAAAAAAAAAAAAAAAAACAAAAAAAAAAAACAGTTCATTCCTTCTATTTACTCCAAAATCTGCAACTGATGATACAGACATACAGAAGCAGTAAATGCTTTCATTGGGTCAATTCCACAAACACTCCAAAACTGACACCTCAGGCATTTTAAAGGTATGCAAGTATTATAAAGAAAGCATCTCAAAATAATCTGTTCAGAATTGAGAACCTCTGAACAGAAGCTTTCATAAGCATCTACACATAAAATTATTATGAAATCATTCTTGCTTTATTTAAAGACTATTCAACCAATGCAAAAGCAAATTCAGCTGCTGTGGAAAGCCTTCAGCCACTGAGACACAGGATATAGAGATGCGTTGCTGTATGATTTTGTGAGAATTGGAGCACATTGAACCTTTGAATGCTAACTTTTCAGATCCTTAAACTATTAACAGAAATTACCTCAGCAAGGCTATAGAAAGGGGCATTACTAGTATTTCCTCAGTGCACCTAAGACCAGAATTAAATAAATAAGAGTAGAGAATCCTTAAAAACATTCTTACCAAACTTAAAAACATTCTTACCATAGTTAGTCCAGGCTGCATTCCTGCACGGATGGCTTCAATCTGAGTATGGGTAAATTGAATAGTATTGCTGCAAAAACCAGATCAAGATCAGATAATTGACAGGTTTTGCCAACAATTTTGATAAAAGCAATTTTTTAACAAGTTTTATTTCAATTAACTGTTTATATATTTTCTGAACTACACACTTGCAAACTTTTGCACAAATTAAATCAGCATTACAACTATGTTTTTTATAGATACAACAGTCTCGAAATTTCTAAGCAAGACAGTACATCATGTTGTCCATGTGACAATGAACTCTTCCCATCTAACAGACTGTCTTTAGTTATTATTTGCAGAGAATGTTGTAAAATTATTTAGGTATTACTTTCCTAATATTCAAATTCCTGAGACAAAAGCCACTAGAAGACAGTATTTCTCACTGTTCTTCAAGGGACTTTTTTAACAGATAAGGGGCAATACAATATCTTGATTTAAATATAAAACAAACCAGTATCATTTCTGAAAATGAACTGCTATGCACGTGTTATCATTTGAAAATAAGTTCCCATCCATTTTTTACCGTTTTGGTTGATTATATGGATATGGCCCCCTGTTTGGGATAACATGAGGCTCTACAATCAGTGTTTTATCTTCTTCAGGGTTTTCTTCACTTCCATCCTCTTTTCTTTTTGTTCCTTTACCTTCCTTCATTGGGAAAGTTATCCTGTAACACATAATTTAAGGTTACAGTTCAACGTGTTCACTATGACATAGATTGTCTCAGAAAGTTATAAAGATTTTTTTCTCACCATTAAGACAAACTTTCATACAACTGGGAAACTAGTGATGCAAATGACAAAGTTTTAAGGAGAATAAAGAAAAGAAATGAAAAATAAATTGATGAAGCTGACTATACAAGAAGTGTTTCAAAACACTGGAAAAGACAGGAATGGTGCTGAGAGTCAGCTGGAGACAAGAAGTGAAAATGGAAAAGACAGGAGAAAAGTTATCACAGAACATAAGCTTTGTCAGCGTTCCAAACTATTCCAATAGTGTGCAAACTATTCCAACAGATGAAGTTTTTATCCTCCCATTTCAATTTTTATAGCCTTCTGTATATATCAGCAAGCTTCTCTAATTCAGAAACAACTCACAGGTGAATGAATCCCAATGCCTATCCAAAATGCAGATACCTATAACAGTAATAATCTCTTATAGGAGAGATATAGCAGTAGGAAGAGCAACAGCTCCTCATAAAGAGCACTATCTCTCTTAATATAGGAACTGAAACTGAACAACAGGTCACTGAGGAAAACTGCATATGAGATCTTTTCCTGATACCTTCAGACTATTTTTATATCATAGTGCCTTCGCCACACAAATTCTCCACACAGTGTTTCCAAAAAAAGCTTGGGAGATTACCTCCCTGCTTTTCAAGATTCAATTTAGCCATGATAAAAGCTGACTGGTGCAAGGGAAAGGCATCTTTTTCCCTCCACAGATTTATTTCTTCACAAGGAAAAGATGTAGTTTCATCAGCTGAAGGAAATGTTCTCCAGTACTATGTGAAACTCAATTGCCAAAATTGAAGGACGTGCACCAAGGTGGGACAGAATGGTCAAGTTTAAAAATGCTGGACAATAGCATCACTGAAACAAAAGGAGTAAATCTCATTTAGCTGCCACTGACATCCTATTTCAGAAATAATTTCTAAAAATAAGCATTATGGGATTTCAGACTTAATCCTTTGTGTTGATTGAATGGTGTCTCTAAAAGCTCAAATTTGAACTGATGTTGAAATTGCTGTTCATAGCTTGTTTTAATGAGACATGTAAGGAAACTATCTAATTAAAATTCTCTAGCCTGATCTTGAGGAGGCTAGATACCATAATACAGAAGAGTATTATGTGTCTTGATTCTATCTAATGCTTTTGTTTTTTGCATGTATTCTGTAGATTGATCTAGAAGCAATGCTCTGATGCATTTTTGTACAGAATAGAACAGAAGCTGGTCCTGGGTCTAGGCGTTGTACAGTTAACTCTACCATGTAACTATCTAAATCCTAACATATCTCTATCTTCTTTTAAAAGAAAAAGCATCTCCCTTCAACTCCTGAACCTAACTCCACTTTAAAACAGGTTTCAGCAAGAATATCAGACCAGAAGTACTTGAAATATTGAGATCACCTGAAGGGGGGTACATGCAGATCTGGATTGTCAACAGTAACTTTAACATTGTACTCAGGAAAGCTAGCTTTTAAATGATCAATGGACAGGAACGTGTCATTAAAATCCAGAGTTGAAATCTGATTGGGCATTTTTGAGTAGTGTGCACTACTTGGGTCTCCATATCCAAGAATGATGTCATGCAGCCAGTCAGGAACCACACAATCTGTGTTCATCAGATTCCTAATAGTCTCCAGAAGAGCCTGTAAATAAGAAAAAACAGAAAAAAAAGGATTGAAGAAACTGACTTCTTACAAAGTAAAAATAATACTGAAGATCAATCAAATCTGTTGTAAGATGACAGAATATAACTCTTTAATTGACAGCATTTGGTTAGATTGAGTTAATATATTGACTGTACATATGCAACAAAACACCAGTATCAAAGCACAGAATTCTTAAGCTAAGAGCTAGTAAAGATGACCATAATCATCAGTAAAGTCTTCATCCCAGAACACTCACAGCAAGGGAAAAACACATAAAAGATCCTCATGTAGTTTAAGGTTTCCTCTTACATGCCTATAAATTTCACCCCTGCAGTCAGTTTAGGCTTCCCTTCAAGCATTTCTTCTTCACCCACAAATTAATCTAATAATTTGTGGTTATGTAAGCTTTCTCTCCTTTCCCCTCTTGTGAAAACACCAATGCTCCAGACCCCAGATTTGCATAGAAGGTGTGCTTTTTAACTAAGAGGAAGCTGAATTTTAACCTTCCCGTTAAAAGGGCTACTTTAGTGGCAAGTCTTGAAGAACCATCTCACTTGAAACTTGGCAATTGGTCACCATGTATCTGCTTCTCAGCAGCAGCAGGGAACACAGGATACCAGACCTGCACTGGTTTCCAGATCCTCAGACTTCCCATGCCACCAAACATGGACACAAATGAATGGCAAACACAGTGCATCAGTTGTCACACCAGAATATAATAGAGAACCTCCAAATGCCAATCTTGTAAAAAACAATCACTCAAATCTAAGTACAGAACTTTATTCTGCGAGTCTACATTTATATACCCATCCCCAAAGGGTAGGATTTTCTTTTTCTTGCTTGTGTAGTATCATTCAAAGAGCCAAGTAATGTGATCACCATCCCTGCTTAGTCAACCTCTATTAAGGTCCTGATTCTTCCCCACTACTCAGCATGGGTGAGACCACATCTGGAGTGCTGTGTCCAGTGCTGGGCTCCTCAGGACAAGAGACAGACATACTGACTGGAATGAGTCCAGCAAAAAAGCCACTAAGATGATTAAGGGATTGGAAAATCTGTTGTTTGAGATGCTGAGAGAGCTGGGATTGTTTAGCCTCAAGAATACAAAACTCAAGAATTCTCATTGGAGAATTCGACTGATTTGTATAAAAAAACGTAATGAGAGGAAGTAAGGTCAATGGAATGAGAGTCACTCAGTAGTGCCCTGTGAAAGGACAAGGAGCAATGGACATGAATTGAGATATGGGAAATTCCACCTAAATACACCAAAATATTTTTACTCTAGAAGTAATGCAACTCTGGAACAGTCTAGACTGGTTATGTAGTCTCCATCACTGGACATACCCAATTCCAACTGCATAGTCACAAGATCTTGAGCAACTTGCTCTATCAGACTCTGCTTTAAACAGATCTTGGACTAAATAATCTCCAAAGGTCCCTCTAACCTCAACTGTTCTCTGAATATGTTTCTTTCAATCACAATCATGCTGTGGCTTCTGTGACAGACCTGTAAAGCTACAAAGTTGAAGGCAGCTTAGCACTTCTGAAGCCTGAATTACTTCAAAGTTATATGGATGGACATGTCCCATATTTACTAAGAATTTTTGTATTTTTGTTGTAAATATATAACAAGTACTTCTGGCCTAAACATATATTAAGCACAGCATAATATGTTTGTGCTAAGAAAAGCACAAAGAAATCAGACCATGTCACATTTTCAGGTAATATTTCTAAACCTAGTGATCAGTTTCTATGAGGAAGCAAGAAATATGTTCCTAACAGCAAATGTTGTGCTTCTACATCACAAAATCTTTGCTTCAGCTTTTCAAAAAGTAATTACTATGCATGTAAAAACAGTAAAGATTTATTCTTGTAAGAACTAACACTGCTGATCAACTGTAGTGACACAGTGGTGTCACCTCCAGCACACATACTGTATTTGCACTTTCTCTGCTCTCTCATCTGCTTAATTTACAAGGACTGCACAAGAGTTCTCTTGTCTTCTCTCCTACAAGCTCAGCTTTAAACTTCAAGCTGCCTTCCATCTGCTGCTACACTGTCTACACTAATCACAGCATTGTCTTGATTTCTCCAGTTGAAGTTAGAAAGGTTTGCAAATGGCATGGAATGCATGCACCTAAACTGGCAGCAATGTGATAAATGTGGAAATACCTTAGATTGTCTTGAAAAATGAATGTACGAGACTTTCATAAACGCCAGCATAAAATGGCTTGCATTGGGGTTTACCTGTAAATTACTGCTCCAAGAAGAGTTGAAATGATGGCATCACAATGGTCTATGCAGGCTGCGAGCTACTGCTTCACACCAAAGGTATTTTTCTAGATACCTCTAGACTTAAAAAAAGTCCAAGTCTTCCTGCCTACCTCTTTATCCATTTACACAGAACTTGCAACATGATCCCCCAAAATGAACATCACTTCAATTATGCAGCGCATGATTTTAAGGCACCAAAAGAAATGCAGTTTTTCATTCACATTGCATTTTCATAATGGAATACTCAAGAAATATTAATGATTCAGAGGTCTAAAAGGCAAAGAAATTGAGTAAGAAATATTTTTAGGTCTTCAAGCAGACCAAGTTTCACAGAGCCCTGTTCAACTTGACCTTGAAAATTTCCAGGGATGGGGCACCTACCACCTCTCTGGGCAACCTGTTCCAGCATTTCACCACCCCACCATGAAATATTTTTCTTATATCTGGTCTGCATCTACCGTCTTTTAAACATTACCCCTTGTACTACCACTATTAGAAAGTTTGTCCTCATCTTTCTTAAAAGCCCCCTTCCTGAATGGGTACAGTCAGATCCCCGTGAAACCTTCTCTTCTCCAGGCTACACAACTCCAACTCTCTCAGGCTTTCCCCACAGGAGAGGTACTTCATTCCTCTGATCATCTCCTTCATTCCCCTGGACTTACTCCAACAGGTCCTTCTTGTGTAGGGGAGCCCAGAGCTGGATGTAGCACTCCAGGTGATGTCTTACCAGAGCAGAGAAAAAGAAGCACTTCCTGCAACCTTTTGGCCACTCTGCTTTTGATGCAAACCAGGATGCAGCTGGATTTCTGGACTGTGAGTACACACTGTTGCCTCATATCAAGGTTATCATCCAGTAGTACCTCCAAGTTCTTCCCAGCAGAGCTACTCTCGATCTGACACAGTCCAATGCCCAGTAGGAAACTGATCCAGTGACGCTCCCAAAAGCAGACATCTGATTTTCACATTTTGACTTTTTTACTTCTTTTCTTACAGTTCACTATTACATTAGATAACAAAAACATTGCACATACACACTTAACCCAAAAGTCCAAGTATGAAGGCTTCCTGTTAGAAGACTGAAATTATAAACTAACATTTTCTTATATACTTAAGCAAAGTAGCAGTGTTCTGATTTTTAGTGTAAGAGTTATCTGCAGGGGAAAGTGATCACCAACTGATATACTCCAGCTCCCTATAGGAAAAGCCTAACCTTTGCCACCTAAAAAGCCTAACTATATGCATCTAAAATAAAAAAGTCTCAGTACTGACAGCATATTCAGACAAACCCTTACCTAAAAGCCAAGGAGCAAGTATCCTACCTTGAAATTGTTTTCTTTTGGTTTTCTTCTCATTATTATATTAAATGTCTCATAAACATCTTCTGCTCCATTTTGGATTGTATTGGTCATGTCCTGCTGATACTGGTTTGGGTCCAGAAATACTCTGTACGTTCTGCAATCACCTTTAAGTCTTGGTTTCGGTTCAGGTCCTGCCCATAATGAAACAGCAAGATCAGAATTTGACTCAGTGCTAAAAGGAAATTATCGTTCAAATAAGTGGTCCATAATTGTTCCTCAAATGAAAGTCAGACAAATTCATATGATGAAACCCATTTCTGCATAGCAATAGAAACATTTCATTGCATTATTCTAATAGTTTTTGAATAGAATCTATTTTCATCCTTAACCCAGCATACTGGATTTATTTAATTAATGTAGCTACATCAGACTTTACCAGAGGAAACTAGTTAAACTTTCTCAGGCTGCTTATGGAATTAGTTTGGTTTTTTCCATGTATGTATGTAACTAATTCGATGAACATTCTTTATAAGAGAGACAAATTATCCATTAGGCTGTTAAAGATAAAAAATAGAGACAGAAAAAAAAAGATAAATTGAACAAGTTTTGGTATATCATACCTTCTTCAATAACACGCCCTTTCTCGTCCAACATGCCCTGAATTTCACAGCCTCTGACATAGACCAGGCCAGTCTGCTCAACGAAAGGCTGTCTCCTGTCAAACTTGGTGCCGTAAGGCTGCATGGGGCGCACCGTAATCAGGAAGCAGACATCGTGCTTGCGCAGACCTGAGCCCCAAAAGGAACAGTCAGTGACGTGATTGAACGGCATTGGCCTCATCAAGTCCTTAACATATATATAAAAGAATGCACTGAAATTTATTTTAAATAAAATCCCGCCTGTATATATTTTGTTTTGCTTCAAAATATGCCTTGAACTTAGAGAATACAAAACCATAGGCCACTGTGATATAATAGATATAAAAAGTAGAAGTTGAATGCTTTTTTGGTAAGAACAAACATTATTTCAAGATTATTCCTCTCCCAATCTTACTCCAGTTATTTTTACCGAGTTATTTTCAATCATTCCTATAGAAGTGTGTCATTAATCTCTTATTGTCATTGCTTCCCTCTGGACAAACCTCCAATTCCTTTTTGTCTTTTTTTTACAAGTTAAATGCAGTGCCTAGAACTGGGCACAAAATGCTAAACCAAGTTACTTTAATTATCTATTTAATAGAGTAGAAGGTCACTTAACTAAGTTACCGGTCACTTAACTAAGTTACCTGTTTACTCTTGCATTCCAGTTTATAAATTCCAATATAACTTGAGATTTTGTCTTTTTCCCTCAGTATTAACACAATGTTGGGGAGTCACATTCACTTGTGAGCAATGATGACCTCTGATCTTTCCATTCTGCAGAGGCTGTTATAGATATCATTGTAAGTTATTCCCCCAACATGTATTTGTACAGTGACTTGTTCTTGCTTAATAATCATCCCTGCTGAACTACATCCTACTTTTAAAATGCTGCTTCTCCAATTCACTAACATAATTCTGAACACTGTATTTTCTCACCAGTACACCTCCAGAGTCTCAGAGATCTAAGACACCTTCAAAGTTCAGAAAACATGCTCTATTTTTCATGAGACAAATAATTCCTCATTAAGCACCAGATACTATTCAACAGAAGGAAATTTGATCAAGATCCTCTTACATCAGGCAATGATTTATGAATTCTTCATCTCAGTTTTTATTTAGTTAAAATATGATTTTTTTCAAATCACAGAGGCTATTTTAGTATTTAAAAAGCTAGGTGTATCACTATATAGATACCTTCATTATAGTGAATTCTCTGCCATCCTCCTAGATTTTCTACTGTAACAAAAATCTACAGCCTCAAACCAGTATCTGCTCATTTATCACAAAATTTTAGCATTTGTGCTACGTGACCTATGCAGCTCCAGCATATTTATCAGGTTTCTCTAACAAAAGAGAAAGGAGTGACATTTACTGATAATACAAGTACAATGGCATGCTTCTGTGTCACTTGCCAACACGGTCAACTAAAGTTCAAATCCCCAAGCAAAAGAAGTGTCGACTGTGGACTTACAAGGAACAGAATTTGGTACAGTCAGCACTTCTTAACATTCAAACATACTGAAAACGACTGAAATGCACTGGTTTGAATTAAATAAAAATCTGTCCTCTCCACTTGCGCATGAGCCAGATATCACATTCCCCATACTTTTCAATATGGCATTTTTAACAAACACAGTATTTAAAATATTAAGTTAACTTTCAACAGTCTCTATAAAAGACAGCATTTCACAGTTGGTCACTGAATGACATCAGTCTGAAGTAATAAACGTTCTGTTTCCAATGAATATCTAAGTATTTATTTCAAACTTTACTTTATGAAAATATAAACTCCTTCAACTTGGTATCTGAGTAACTGACTTCTAAGTATATAGGATTGACAAATTGGTATCATGGTTTAAAACTTCTTCTTACAAATAAGACTAAATCAAAATGTATTTTGATGAGCACCATTTTGAGCACTTTATTTCAAAGCATGTTAAGTACCTTCCCATTCGTCTTTGATGTTATCTCGGACATTTAAATTAATTGTAACATCTGCTCGCACTCGCATGGGCCAGTTTTCACCAATGTTGGGCTTGGCCACCTCCACCACGGTGAAAGAGACAATGGGTTGTGCCATCCTAGCCCATCCACCAAAGACAACACCTCCATATTCTGATAACCTAAGAAATAAATCCCAAAGTTTTGTTAGTCATTAGCTAATAACAGATTCAATTATTTTTTAAACTGTGAGAAAATTTACCCTACAGTAAGTTTTAAGACAAAAGTAGAATTCTTAACTTTATGTGCTACTGAATTAAATTAATGTAATCCTGCATTTTAGAATTGAAGCATAACATAACTTATATTTCAAATACCAAGGGCAACTTATGCTAGTATTATTCAAAAAACTCAGAGACAGAAGATAAAGGAAAGGCAATAAAAAGCAGCTACTGAGTATAAAAGATATCACACCAAATAAACCCTTTAAAACAAAACAGGATTAAAATGTGTCAGATGGCAAATTCAAGAATACTCAGTGACCTCTCCCACAAACAGAGGAGTTTATGTCATTTGTGTATTTTGTAATGTCAGCCAAGGCTTAGTGCTCATGGAAAATAAACTCATCCATCTTAACACAACAAAGGCTGTTTGTTAGCATGCACATGCCTTGAACATACCTACAGGGATACATAACCACAAACCCTTAAAATATCAACTCTTGGGATGGCAATACCTTATGGAAGGAGTAAGTACAAACCACAGTATCTATGTAATAATTTTAAACACATTTGTTACAATGTATACACACAGTACCAGTTTTTCATTCTTAAACACACTTTGATTAGAAGAGAACAGACTGGTTTGTACAAATTAATAAATATTACCATGGTTTCATCCTACTGACACTATCTTCAATGTCCTGTCTGATCTCATAGGTAGACTCCAAGCGGAAAAGATTGAAGTTCCTCAGCAGGTAGTCATGGAGAGTCAGGAACTGTAGATTCAACTTGGGAAGTGCAAGACAGCCTAAGGATTTAAGGGAAGAAGGAAAGAGGTATTTGAAGGACAAACAAAAAAAGATAAATTAATATATTGTTTCTATAAATTCATACACACACGCAGACTTTGTTATACAACTGCCATTGCTGTTATCCTTGGAGATCTCAAAACTGCCCCTTTTATCAATACACACCTCTAAAAAGCATATATTTTTCAAGTTCTCTCTAAAAGAACTTGTACAATATTGAAGGAATTTTCATCCTTATAGCACTAATACAGTGAACTACTTAAATATTAAATCCATCAATGTATTCAGTCTATAACAAAATAAAGTCTAGGAAAATCAAGTACACAACAAAATAATGGTCTTTGGAAATGCAACAACTAAGGTAGTATTAAAAAATAATGAAAAAGGCTAATAAAATAATAAAAACCATGCAACATCCAACAGTTCCCCTATTCCCATGCTTTATGTTTATTAGATGCCATAAAACCATTAATGTAGAAAAAAACTTTAAGTCAAGAAATTAAATTTTAACACACATCTCTAAAATTTCTGTTACTGTTTTGTTTTTTATATATGCAAGAAAAACATAGGAAGATTAGATCCTACTACACAATGAGTATTTGAACTCCTAGACAGGTCCTAAAGCTTCTTCCATTGTTTTATGATAGTCTTAGATGCAAATTTTCCATAATTAAAATTCCTGTAAGTTACTCATCTAACGTTACTGGACTACTATTCCAGTTTGTTATCTAAATTTAAGACCTCTGAAAGCATCTTGCTTTTGAAACTTGCAATATCATTGTTGAAACCTTTCTCTGGTATAGGTACTACATATTGACTTTCACATGCACTGAGATACAACAGCAGTGAAGAAAGGCAGCAGAACACAGTAATTTCTATTGTGGAAAGTCTGATGATTTGTTTAATATCTTGTTGAGAAAAAGATCCTTTGTTGCCTATAACCCTGCCTTTCTTCTCATAGTTAACACTTGTTTTGCAGAAAATTCATCCAAAAAGACTAATTTATGGCAAGCAGCTGAACTTACAGCTTACACCTGTAAGCTGCAAAAAACCTCTTCTTAATCAAAACTACACAGGGAAGGGTATGGAATACTGTCTGCTGAAACCCAAAACAAACTTTATACTAGTCTGTGAAAATATATGTTGTTATTTGAAATTGTCACATTCCAAATTAAAATTTTCACATTTATAGTAAAAATTCTCATGATCTACATTAGAACAACAGTTTTTAAAAATAGCTAAACAAAAATACATGAGCTGTTTGTTGCAAATCTTAAAATTACATGATTCTTGTTTGCAATACCAGCAGTTTATTTCCTTGATCATGAGTACATTACGTTCTCAAAGTAGTCACCTTTCAGTAACTATGTGTACTTTTTCCTTGAAATAGAAGTAAGATCAGTGGTGTTAATTTCCTTCTATTACCACCTTTTACCCCTTTTTAGAAAGGCTTTCTTGAACATACCTTAGCACAAAGCACAGACAACAGCTTTTTTTCTGCTGTTTCCAAACTTTTTCACCTCACCTGTGCCTCAGCTGGTAGTACAGCACATCTACTATCCAGAAGCAAATAAACATCTTTGTGTAAAAATAGATTTTTCAATTTTTCTTTAATTATGCTATTTATTTGCTAACAATTTAATCTCAATAGTTTCTGACTCATAATTGAAAAACCCCTGATCTTACTCTAAGATACCAGAAGATGCCAAAGTACCATGTGTAAGTTTCTTGGACAGAATAAACATAATACATCAGAACTTCTATTTTTTTATTGAAGCATTTACTACTCTGTTCAGCATTTACTAAACTACTAATCATACCTTCTCCAGAGTAATATTCAGTTGGTACAATATTTTCATCCCAAATAATCTTTTCTGTGGGATAGAGAGGCATCTGGTTGAGCTGCTGAATTTGAGATATTCGTCGCTCATGACGGGACACCTAAAAAAAGGAAGCATTTCAAACCTCTGAGTCAAAAAGGAATAATAAATATACTTTTGAATGAGACAATAATTCATAACGTGATAACTTGCTTTTTCTCCATCAATATTTTTCTAATGAAATATTTTAATATAACTAAATGCACACAGTGACATCAGAAGATGAACAAACACATAGTCCAACTACTGGTCATAGTACAAGAATCAAACAATAATTTGGCTACTCAGTAGACCAAAAATGGCACAACACAACTCCAAATAGTCATGGCTCAGCAGAGAATCAACTTCAAATAAAAATAAAACTTACCTTACTTTCCATTAAAAATATGGTCAGTACCTAACTAATACTACTCATTCAGTAACAATTTCCTCTTTGGGACACAAAAAAATCTATCCAATACTATAATATCTTATCTGATCAAGCATCCTTCCATGGCAGCCATAGGCATATCACTTCCCTCAATACCTTAGAAAATTACATGAACAATTTTTTAAGAAATCAACAACCACAAAACTTATGAATGAGAATTTAAAAAACAGCTATAGTATTCTAATACTGCTATCAAATTAGAAGCCTACAGTAGTATTGCTAGACCTCGAATATCCAAAAAACCATTATGTGCATCAAACAATATTTCAAACTGGTTTGAGGACCAAATAGGTACTGAAATTTAGATCTATTTTAACAGATCTTTTTGTTTTTAAATGGGACAAAAACTTTTTCAGAAGAACTCAAAACCATTTCCAAGGCTCTTTGTATTGACCTAAAAAACCACACATTACTTTCTCATTGAAACTCTATTTATGAACAGGCATTTTCAAATACTTATATGGTTTTAAACCCCATCTTAACATGCCGTTTACTGCTCTAACACTGCTGTGGTTCACAGGTGGCTGACAAAACGTTCTAAATGCCGACTTTAGTGCAGTGCAGCTATGCCCTGCGCTTTCGGCAGGCAGTGCCGGCAGCACGAAGCGCGGCTTTACCAGCAGCTCCAGCAGAAATTCCTTCTCGTGGCTCGTGTCCTCCCCCTCGGCCAGTGGCGGCAGCAGGCACAGGTACGACGCCACCTGGTGGAGGACGTTGGAGCTGCAGCGACAGGAAAACAAGAAGCGTCTGTCACACTGAAACCAGAGGCAGCACTCACTGCAGCTGCCTTTTCCTTAAAGAAAACTCCAAATTACGGGTTAGGCTTTTAAGTGAAGTTTGTGTATAAGGTGTAAGCTGAACCTCTCACCTACAATAAACATGGCAAGGGGTGGATATATTTGTATTGTTTCAAGACCTGACGTGGAAGTAAGCAATAAACTGCCTTTGTCAAAACACATACTGCTATCCTTTTACTCACAGCATTTACAGTACAGTTAATACAGTGGCATGCTTTCATGATTTCTGTTGTAGCTCTTCTATGGAACAGAGTAAAAAAAAAAAAACTAAACAAGTCAGAGGTTAACTACTGGCTATGCACATGAGAAATCAGAAGGAATAAAGGCAGGAAATTTGTTAAATTTAATCATACTGAGAACAAAGAATTTCAATTTCAATTTGATAACTTACCTAAGAGGTCCAAATAACTTCACCAGTGCATCACGAGTATCTACTGCAGCTACATTTGAGAGTGCAAAGTCATATAACTCCGGGAAATGTGCAAACGCTGCTCTCTACAAAAGATCCATGCATGAAAAGTGGATGTAAGCATATTTATGAAACAACTTAATAACAGCTTCAATATTTAGAAGAAAGAATTGTTTCTTCTGGTTCATAAGATGAACCACTATGGACCCTACCAGGATAGAAATACAAGCCAGATTAAATCGCCATTTTTCTTAACACTATCTATTTGTTACTCTACTTGTGACACAGTATTTTCCTTATTACACCCTTCTACCAGCATTTGTTGTCATAAAATAAAACATAAGGCAGCAGATATGTAGCTTTGCAGGCAACTAAGAAAAGCCAGGAACAAGTTTAACTCAACCAAGCTTCCTTGAATTGTTCTGTTAAAACTGATGTGAACAATTCTAAAAAGTGCGAGTCAATTTGTACAAGGGACCACTGTAGGCACAAGTGCACATTGATCTTGAGGAAATGCTGCCACCTACTGCATCACCACAGGGTCCTACAGCATTCGACTTTCCCTTCTTAACAGACTTAGCAGGAACAGTTCATTTTGGTAACACAAGGTCAAAAATGGTGATGTTTTGCTAGAGCATATTATTTAGTCACAGTCATACCAACCATGCTGAAACATTACATGACTTCAATATGGTACAGGCAGTCAAGCTAAAGCTATTCCCATAATTCAAGAGGGAAAATAAGGGGTTTGATTTGGGAAATAACCTCATGCCTATTCCAGATGCAAATTGGACTAGAACAGCAAAACCAAATCCTCTGCTTCTCATAAGCACTTCATTCTCTACTTACCTGTAGAGAAGTAATTCTGTCATAGTGAATTGTAGTCATCTCATTCTCTGTCAAAGCATTTCCAGTCTGATCATTGATTTCAAAGCCAGTATAAAATTTGAGCATATCTAAAAGCTGAGACATCATTAATATAAATTAGTGGATTAAAAATAAGAGACACCCTACTACTAACAAAACTAGAGTTCAAGAGGACAAATGCATAAACAAGAAATCCTCAGAGCTCTAGAAGAATTGGACTGAGTGGTATATTTTATACTTGGCTGATGCACAAAATAGTTTTTGTTAGGTATCTCATCTGCAAGCCATCAAAATTTCAGTACAGTCCACAAGCAATACGGTTTCTTGATGTGCTAGACTTGAAATTGAAAATTTCAAGGTAAGGTGATCTAGCCAAAGGCTGTCATGGAACCCAACTTACAGCTTCCCGCTACCAAAAGGGAGAGGCCTTGTGCCCTCTCTGATGGCAGCTCTGAAATTCATCCGACCCTTCAATGGGATTATTTAACTTGGAGGAAGAAAATTATGCAGATGTGCTGCTGCTGTTTTGTTCTATCAATACTGACCCTCAGAGAAAATGAACAAGTGGCAGAGATGGAGGACAGCAAGCAGCAGGAAAAGCAGCTGAGAGGCAGGAAAGGGGACAGATCTTCAGATCCTGTCATATAAAAAACAATGCACTAGCTATGAGTGAGTAAACTGAAGGACAGGAGTGAAAAACAGCTGCACTGCAAAACAGCATGAAGTCAAAATTAACAGGAGCAGAATGCAGGGTGACAACTTCTGCTATGTGTGTAGTAAAGCATGCCAGAAGCTGCACTGCTTTCTAGCTTGTATTTTTAAGAACTCCTCAAAAACAGAAGCAGAAATATTACTCTGTTCTTGTCAGACCCCTCCTGCAGTACTGTGTCCAGCTCTGGGGCCTCCAACACAAAAACATCTTGTTGGATAATGTCCAGAGGAGTTTACTACAGAGCCAAAGCGCCTCCTCTGTAGCAATAGGCTGAGAGTTAATACTGCTCAGCCTGGAGAAAACAAAGCTCCAGGGAGACCCTATAGCTTCCTTTACAGTATCTAAAGGGAGCTACAAGAAGGATGGAGAAGGACTTTTCACAGGACATGTAATCATAGGACAAGAGGGAATGGCCTTAACTTAAAGGAGGACAGGTTTAGATAAGACAATAGGATAAAACTTTTCACTGTGAGGATGGTGAGGCACTGGAACTGGCTGCCCACAGATGTCCCATCCCTGGAGATACTCATGACCACATTGGATGAACTCTTGAGTAACCTGATCTAGTGGAAGGTGTCCCTGACCATGGCAGAGGCATTGGAAGTAGATGATCTTTAAGGTCTGTTCCAACACAAGTCATCCTGTGATTCCATGAAATGTATGAAATGCTATGTGAGTAGTCACACACAAAGGTACAGGTAAGAAAAAAAATACTGTGTGAAAGATTTAAATAAACAAATAGTTTGCATCCAAACAAAAGCCTATCTTTAATAAAAAGAAAACAACTGCAGCATTCAAAAACAAAGGGAATAAAAAGTTCTTTTCAATAACTTTGTATCTCACCTGGCAGAAGAGATGACCTTCTTTTTCTCTTTTAGCAAGACTAGACAAGTAACAGTGAACAACAAGATGGGAGTCATCCAGCACTGTATTGAACCAGCGCCGCGTGGGAAGCAAAGCCTGTGGTAAACAACATCATGTTAATACAAGTAACTCTTCAAAAAGTAAGAAATCCTGGCTTCTCAGAATTTTTCCATTTCAAAAAGGCATATTAAGACAGATTACTGCAGTTATTTGCATATCTAATACCCTCACAGAAGTATTAAGGCAGCATTTATGTATGCCAAGACACAGGGTTTATGGAGGTAAGCTGCTATGAACACAGTCCTTTATGTAACGGAAAATATGGCACAAACTTTCCATCAGTGAGAATTCATCCTACCAGTAAAAAAGTAAATTAAATAAAGCAATTATTCTACCATTAAGTGTCTACATAATGATTGTGTGCTACAAGACATACATCAAACTGCTTCAGCATTGTTTTAAATGTCTGTTTTCTACACCAATTTAATTAATTTTAAGCTTGAGATCCTTAAAATTGCCAATTACTTCTTCTCTTCTTTGCAAAATATCCATTTTTCAAATCTTCAATAACAAGAATATAGATCTTTCCTTCTCAATGTACATAGTTTAAGCTGCTATATGTAGCAACTGTTCAACAGCATACAGTAGAAGACCACAACATTTTAAGAGAAAAATCAGCTGTTCTCTGCAGACTGAATTTAGAAAGCCAAAAAGCATCAGCACGATGTTTAGAACTAAGATGAAGAAAATAAAAAATTCTGTAGTAAAAGATGTTGATTGCCTTGCACAATTACAAAAACAAAGTCATAAAACTCGTAAGAACTCTCCATTGAATTATTACTTTCAAATTATCTAATCACCAGTTTTGATGGCAGTGTATGCACTGTAATATTCTGAAAAAAGCCAAGTAAAAAGAGCCCATTAACCCAGTACATGCTACAAAGGCAAAACTACTTGGATTTATAGCTAATTTCTTGTATGCTTGCTCCATCCAGTCACTTACATAGGCTTTATAAACCTGTCTGAATTCTAATCTTTCTGTAATACCTAGAGAAAACCAATCTTAAATGTGCTGCTTCTAAGCATTGTAAGACAGACTTTAGTTCACCTTCCAATATGTTTTCTCTTACCAGAGTATATTACATACATAAGACAGCAAGCTCTAATTTAAAATATTAACAGAGTCAGCCTGCAGAAATCCACCACAAAGCCATTTTAAAGTTCCCCGTGATACTGTTTCAGAAAACTCTTGTTTTATTTCACAATGCCTTCTGAATCTGAATGAATGGCTTTTAATACTGGTACTGTCATGCTTAAAACTGTCTCAGTTCCTCAGTATCTGCTGAAAAATTTCACAAACCCTTGCTCCACGCCTTATTACTCTACCAAACTGCAGATCCCCAGACCTGGTACTTGTAAATAATGAACTCCAGTCAAACAGGAATAGTTTGCATTTCAGACTACTGCTGCTTTCTGGAATTTAACCCAACAACACAAAAGAGACTTTAAGTGACCTGTTATGCAGTGGGAAGAATCATTCTGAATTATTCATACCAAATTAAACCATTACATATTTTCAGAAACTGCCAGTATGATTACCACTATTCCAATTAAATCCTCTTCACTAAGCACTTTAGGATCTTAGCTTTGCCTACTGGTTTATCAGCATTGCTGGTCAGCTCCCAGTATGGATGCAATGCTACAATCTATTATTTACAGATGGAAAATCACTTTTAAACAACCAAATGTGCAGCTGTGACAACCACCTCCTATTTGGAATAAGGCTGTAATAATTACTTTATGTACTTCACCCCTAGAAAAGTACACCTGGAAACTAGCTGAATCGATTTAAAAACTTACCTCGAGGTCTAGCATGAGTTCAATAAACCTCTCACAATAATGAACTTTGTCCATAGAAATAGGACCTAGATAAAAAAAAAAAATAAATCGATCTACATCACAATATACTTACACTTGAACAATTCCTTAAAAACTAAATAAATGCTACAAATATAAAAGTAATAATTTTAATCTTTTTAAAAGCTAATTAAAACATTATTCTCTTCTTAAAAACCAATTGTTTCTTATATTAAAAATTCTTCTGGTTAGCAACGAAAGAATAGTAGAACCAGAATTTCAGGAGTGATTTTATCTGCTTTGAAAAACCTTGAATGTAATATGCAAAAATGCTCACTTCCACAAAGTATCACTTGCCCGTTATGTTTGTTAAGAACTTTTAATGCCAGGTACACAAAAATATATTTTGAAAAGCTGCAAACAAGATGTGTGCAGAAGGCCTTGACCATATTCAAAGGTACTCAGAGGTGACTACTAAGGGACCATTAGAATCACATCAAAACAAAAACAAGTATCCCTTAATAACTTTCCAACTCTTACAGCCTCCAAAGAAATGTTGAAGTTAATCTTCCTAAAACAGGTCTAGCATAATTAGGAAAACAGAAGGGATAAGTATCCTTTCAGAGGAAGCCACATTACTAAATTTACAGCTCATGTAAGAGCTGAAGTTTGCTAAAAGCTTAACAGAAAAAGTAAAACTCTGGGAACTGATTTCACCCGAATTGTGCTGTGCTTAGAGGATAATAACCCTTTTCTGTTAAAAGGCTAACACCTTCCTCCACAAACACTTTTCCTTTCTAAATCAGGCAAGGAGATAATTTTTCTTGTCACAATGACTCAAGAGCAGTCAAATCTTACAGAATTTCACTTCACTTAGGCTTTTGTTCTTACTGTAAATCAACAGTATGAATAGACAGAGCCTTATGATATCCATTTATACCACCTATTTAATAAGGCACCTAAGTATGTATGAAATGCCTTAAGGCTCTAAGCACAAAGTAAAGAATATCAGCTCCAGAAATATTGTGTTTATTAAGTACATATTGAATAGAAGGCAGTTTAAAGTAGCTTTTTGCTTTTTCATTTTTAATGTATATACATATTTGAATATTAATTTTGATTTGAAATCCATGCAGACAGGCACAGTGGTCACTACAAGCCTCACCTGAATAAGGTCCCCAACCTCAGACTGATATCCTAAGGACCAGTGACTTCAGCAACACGAAGATTTTCACACAGACTACCAGATAACAAAGTAACATAAGAAACACAGTTACCTGAGACAGGTATTGACTTTAGAACAGAAATGAACTTCTGAATGAGCTGTGAAAGAAATCTTCTCTCTCGATATGCTCTAAAATTAGAACATATGACAAAAGAATTAATACTCCTTAAATGCAGACTAGGAGTATATTGCAGCTTTCACTAATACAAAGTTAGCGGCTTCAAAATTATTATAATGATAGTAGGTTGCTTTGAAACACACCTAAACAGTTTAAATCATACCTGTTCTCTCTGCACTCAGGCAGAGAGATTAACTGTTGCAGCTCTGCAACAATTAACATCCTATATTTTTAGGCATAGAAACTGCTTAACAACCCATGCTTCTTACTGTGTCAAGGAGAAGTCAGTCCCCTCCTACACCTTAGCACATTGCAACACAAAAGAATTGGAACATTTAATTTTGGTAAGAGAGACACAGATTTATTGAAATACTTCCATAAGCTATATACCTAAGAGCAAAATATTTGCTAAAGGTCACAAAAAAAAAGTGAGTAGCTACATGAATATTCTTTTGTGCTTTCATCCTTTAGTTTTAATATTTGGTATCACAAATTCACTGACCAAATAAAATATAAAGTTCTATAACAGTATTTGCATAAAGAATACTGAAAACCAAAACAGCTTCCAGGAGACCACATATGATCAATCCTCATTTGCCACAGGTTTTCAGAAAACATCTTTTTCATTGAAACAATTTATTTTAACTAAAACAAAATGAATGCATTAAGGAAAAAAAACTTCTGTACATACTGCATTCTTGACTCTTCATCCATTTTTGCATCGTTTTTCTTAATTAGATTCCAGAATTTTTTTAGTTTTGGTGTCTTTTTCAACTCTTGTTCCAGTCGATTCTGAAATGTACAAATGATATTTAGTCACCAAGGAACCTTGTTTTCGTAAGATAAAAATACAGTCCAGTCTTTTTATTAAAAAAAAAAAATATATATAACAAACTGAACTGAAGAGCTGTCTCTGGCTATTCTCAGTATCACTGTGAAACAAAAATGCAAAAATGCTAGAGTCCAGCTACAACTAGATGTCAACTCCATTGCCTCCCTGTGACTTCATGGCCTTGTCTATTAATCACAGCTTGAAGAAGCTATAACCAACAAAGCTCAGTTTTCTGAAAAAACATTATTATCTGGAAAATTACATAAAAAACATTATTACACAGAAATTTGCAACAAAAAAATAAAGAATTAGCAAAGCACACAAAAATATAATTCCGTAGTAATGTTGTAAATATTAGAGTTCCTCAACAGCACGCCTAGAAAACTGCTCTGCCAGTTAACAGTGTTATGCTTACAGGTTGTAGAGCCATCCACATTGGTAAGGAAATCAGCTGCTGCACCTGTCCTCTGATCAAATCCACTTCCTGTTAGAAAGTTACAGATTATAAAAATTTTTAAAACATTCTTATGTTTTTTCATATGACTTACAAAATACATCAACTACAGAAAAATAATATCTCAATAAACCATACACATAAAGTTCAAGATGGTTACTGGCTCCCAAAACCATTACTAAATCCAAAATCAAATAATACACTTTCTATGTTGTTTTGTCTGAGAAACAATTTTATTTGTGCAGACCCCGATTTTGAGTAAGACACTCAACATGCAACATAAGTAAAGAAAAATCCCAGTAGCAAGAGAGGTTAGAGAGCACTGCTTTATATAACAGGTAAAGTGTTCTTCCTGCTTGCTACTTAAGATCTGTAACTCTGTTTTAACTATAGATTGAGAACACAAGTTGATCGAAGGCTTTCTTAAAACTCAGCTCTAACTCAGCAGAACTGCAGATAAAAACTATCTAAATCTGGTTTCAAAAGTGAAAAAAGCCTCATTGTCTTTCTCAATAATTAATTTCTCAATAATTCTTGTGCTATTTTGTAGGCTAACTAAAAAGAGCACAGTAGTAACAAATCAGTTTTAAATGTAAAGCGCCTTTTCAAATATAAATACATAAATTTTACAATACCATTTTTAAAACAAAAATTTATATTATATCCTATTAATTGTCTAACTGCCAATCCTCCAGTTACAAGTCTCATCTATGATCTCATGTCAGAGAAAAGAAAACGTGCTGAGAGAGATAAGTAAGGGTCAAAACAGAGGGTAAAAGGCCTCTAGTACTGTGTTTTCCTTAAATTGGAATTTTGCTTCATCTGCCTTATAAGAAGAAATTGCTCAAACTAAACTGCTACTGACACAAAACAGCATAAACACACTGGAAATATTTAGTTACTTTTAACATACCAAACTATTGAAGCAGTGATCAAGGAAAAGCAGCAGGACTGTCTGTTCATGCAGAGAGTACTCACTCTCATTTTCGACCAGCGATGCTTCCAGTATGCGTTTGAAAAAGAAAGGAAAATGTTCTGGCCTTTTTTTGAATGTCTAGGAATAGAAGAGGAAGGTAATTTTAAGTCAAGTTGATAGAAATAATTTGACTCTTCATTCACATAACATAGCTGAAGGTCTCAATCTATTTAGATCAATAAAAGAAGGGATTAGTTTTTTCATTTTCATTTATTCTAACCAGGTGGCACAAGCAAAACAGACTAATGACACCCTCCTGACAAGGGATCCTCCCCTATACCTTCTGCATAGTCTAACAGGTGATGCACAGGACAAACTAAACAAGAAGCACAGGTGAAGTCTTGTGGGAATGTTCACTTTGTGACTGCACAGAAATACTCTAAAATCTCCCAGCTAGAAGATAAATGGTAGGTTTTGGCCAAAACTATGGCAGGTCTAAGTGACATGCAAAAAGTGAGCAAGTAAAAACCAACATAGATTAATTATAGTCCTGGAACTTCCATTGAGCTACATGAGCAGGAAAAAGATAAACTGAATAACCACCAAGATAAAATAGTTCCTTTACAAGGGCAGTCATGTACCAAAAAAATTTAACTAAGCTGCTTGGAACATAACATGTACCTGTCATTTTACTTCTAGTACGTATGCCAGAAGAAAAGCACACAGATAATATGTGAGCAAGTTATTAATCCTTTGTGCTTTGCCAACAGTCAAGTAATGGCACACACATTGAAGTAAGTGTGATTCTGAAATAGTGCCTGCACAGAATGTATAACTAGGCTTCTGTTGTTGAGAAGGCCTGTAAAACCTGGATTATTTGTGGAAACATTACATCATTTCTAAACTTATTATTACAAAAAAAACCCCAACCAAACAAAAAGCCCAAAAAAACCAATATACACAAAAGAAGAGTAAGACATTATTTTAGTATAAAGCAAAAAAAAGTAGAAACCAATATACATGTTTTAAGCAAGACGCTATTGGATAATATGTTAGACTTTCAATGGTGCCTTCTTGAATATACAGATATATAAATCCTTCTTTTTCCCTTCAATATCAGAACAAGAACTTCTCTGTAAATACCCAACCTCTGTCAAGTGACAAAAAAGCAAATGCTGGTGATAATGTTCAGCATCTCACAGCAGAACCAAGGACCTTCACACCAGAAGGAATCAAGTAGGTTTTCACCTGTCCATTTCCCTCTCCAAAAAAGAACACAAAGTTTGAAACACCATATGAGATATTCCAGCTGAGGCACCATTCCTTTCAACACTACAAGCTCTTCTACCTTCTGCACTGTAAAAGCTGCAACTTGCGGATCAAAGTCAATTCTAGCTGCAATTGAAATTGCGTACCTCCCACGCAGGGACATTCTCTCTGAACTTCTCATTCACCATACAGCAGATTGACATTAAATATGCCTTACTGGACACCTCTGGAGAATAATTCTTCCATAGGTAATTTTCAAGGTACTGACTGTGAAGAGATAAAGAGTATTTCATTAGTTGCAGCCACCCACATAATCTGTCACTCATTTAAAAAGCAGTTATCCACAAGCCTTTTTTTCCCTCCTTCCCCTGAAAGCCATCTTCACAGTCTGTGAGTAGTTCCTCAAGTTCCCTCTCATCTAGGTCACTGAAGCAAAACTTGTTAGACTCAGAAGCTGATGACACTAACAATGTTCACAGAAAGGACAGGAACCTCTAGCTCTGCACTACTGCTGACATACAAATTCCAAAAGTCCACTGCATGCCATTTTTTAGCGTCAAACCCTTAACCATAATTTACATTTTCTCTTCTGAGCTTTTTCTAATTAAGATGCAAAAAAACAAGGGAAGTTGTCCTTTTGTAGTTACTGGTACTAACTTAGGGGCTTGAGCCTTTTTGAAACAAAGAATGCGAACAAAAAAATTCTCATATTTTTTCTTAATATTTGAGAGTTAAAAGAACCAAGCAGAACATAAAATATTGTAGTTTTAAGTACATATTGATAATCTTTATTTTACATCGTTTTAGACATACTCTGTAAGTTCTTCCAGGAAAGTCTGAAGCAGTAATAAACTACTCTTTAAACAGACTTCTGTTCTTTTTCAAGAGAAGAAAATGTTAATGATGATGCTGCAGCACAATCCATTTTTAACCTCACAGCAAGAGATATAATCCAAAACCTTCTCTAATTTCAGCAAGTTCTGATTTAAAGCTTAATGATACATTCCAAATTACAGTCCCAAGTTTTTTTCCCTTATTTCATTCAGTCTCTTTCTCCATGTTCCTCTTACACTAGACATTGATAATCATAAAACAAGACACTCTGAGATGCCACTTACATTTATGGAATTATTTCCTCTTTAAACTAAGCTCTCCTCATTTTCCTCAGTACACAATTCAAGGCCTTAGAAAGTAGGAACAAACTGTACCTTCAAACTGTCTTACTGCCCTGCTTTTCCTTCTCACCTTTACAGGTTCCTATGAAAATATAACTCCAAATTTCCTTCCCCTTAGCTTACCTGAATTCAAGAAGCATTATCTTTCTGATCGCAAACCTAAAAAGGAAAAATTAATCAATTAACATAGGAAAGAAAGTCTCCGACACACAGCTACATGAAAAATGACTATACTTTCCTTTATTACATTATATAAGGAAATATGTAGAAACACTCAGGAATTATTTCTGTCCTGACATTTCCATGCAATAGCAACCACTTGAATGCAGAAGCAACTGCTGTAACACTGGAGATGCTAAAGTTCAAAGAGCAATCAAATTCGCATTTAGAAAAAAAAAATCATGTAGGTCTTTTAAATATGAAACACCACTTCTAATAGCCTTGATGATATAAACTGCTAGCAGCTGAGAGTGTCTTCTGAACACTACAATTATATAAGTAATCTGTTCATAATGGTATTTTTTTCTTAGTGACTGGCAATGGAAGTTTGCTTTGACTCGATATGACGAAGTCTTAGATTGCTTTCATACAGGAATAATATAGAGAATTCTCTGCAGAGCTTGATCTTCCCCAAAAAGCTCCAGCTACAGTTACACCTCTTTTCTGCACAGAGAGCTGCAGAATGCAGTGTATCTTGGATTCATTTCTCCCCATCTAACAGTACAATTCACTGAAACCACTTTCCCTTTATGAATCTGGTAACAGCAGCCAGAACAGAGGAGGAAGCCAAAGGCAGTGCACTCCACAACATTTTTTGCTCTTTAGAGACAAAAGAAGAGATCAACCTTCTATAACCACTACAACAAAACCAACATAAAAGACAACAGATTACCAGGGAAAAGGTCTGAAAAATATTAACTCAAATCATCATGTTTAAGGTTTATGGGCTTAGGAACTCTCTTGTTACTACATTCATACTTTGAAATACCATAATGATGTAATTACTTAAATGCACTTGAGTAATTTTCATCTGCTTTTAATATATAGGTGAGTTTGAAAGTATTCTATCAAACATTAGAAACTCCAAAAACATGCATGATGTTGGAATGGTGGTAAATAAGAGAAAACAACTGGTGTACTTACTTTGACCTGACAATTTCTTTTGTATATACATCTTCAATGACCTATGGAAAAAAAATTTAAGAGAATTTTAGATAACCACTAACATGATTCAAAATGCATTAAGACATTTTATTATGAACAGCATACAAAATAACTGCATGCTACATAGAAACAGCACCTACATTTATAAACTACAAATACATAACAAGTAACAGTGTCTCAAGCAATAGTTGACCTTCCAAGCAGTCTCATAGAAAACATATAACACTAAATATTGGCACACCACGGAATGGTTGATCCTCATTATTTTACAGACCCCAACAAAATTCCAATAGAAGTAATTACCTTTACATCAAAAGACAATGTCTTCTTCACATGTGGAGCCCAGTATTTATTTGCTAACTGCACAAGGAAAAAAAAAAAAGGTTAAATACATACATTTTCATGTCAGTGATATAACATCTCTACAACAGATCCCATCCCCGAACTTTATTTCACTAGTATCTTGCTTAATTTCAGTTTATGCTAACTACAAGTAACAAAATAATGTTTTTAACAGCAATACTTATCAACCATTTAAAGCTTTTATGCCTAAACCTCTTTCAAAAGAAATGCAAGTCTTTGGGAAAATTTCAAACGCACAGGCTGCTATCTAACGAACATTTTCTATTCCTAAGTTACCTCTAACAAATCCATCAAAAATAAACCATGATTTTTCAGGAACTGCAAATCCCAAATGGCAAGTGAGTACGCTTCCTTGAGGAATCTGACAAGTAACTAGAAGTTCTATTTAAAAGCCTAGCAGGTTAAGGCTCTTTGCTGCAGCCATCACTCCACCAGTACTCCTGAGCGATGATAACAAGAGCTTCCTATGCAACTTTATTCAAGCTTCTTTATGTTCCGGAACAAGAAGGAGACCAGATTTCCAAGGAAAAAAAAAAAAAAAGAAAACAAAAGAGACGACTTGTAGAAAACCATTTAGAACTTTAACCAACAGAGAGCTTTCGGCAGCTTTCCACACGTTAAGAGACGCCTTACAGCGATGCACAGTGCATCGCACCGATGCGTTCGGTAGCGCTGCTTTGTAAATCCCGCCGTTCGGAAGCGCGGGGGAAATGCCCTTTCGTACATGACACAGGCGCACATCTCCCGTCAACTGCGACCAGACAAGCCCCTCGGCCCAGCACCCCGGCCTACAAAGGCTGTTTAACACCGAGACGCCGTCGCAGCCGGAATGTCCCTTTGAGCGCCGGCCGCGGCAGAGGCGGCCCGGAGGCGCCTTTGGCCCTACCTGTGTCACGTACTCCGCGTTGATCTGCGACACCGTGGGCGCCACGATCTTCTTCGGCGGGGCCGAGGGCGCGGCCGCCGCCGCCGCCATGGTGCCGCCGCTGGAGCCGCCGGCACAGGCCTCGGTGCCCCGGCGCTGCCAGCCCGGGCCAGGCCGAGGGAGGGACCTCCGGGCCGGGAGCCGCGGAGGCGGGAGCGCTTCCGGGCCGGGAGGGCTGGAGCGGCGGCGGGGAGGCGGGAGCGGCCGCGCCATCTGCTGCTCCCTCCGTGCCGCTGCAGCTCCCTCCTGCCCCGCCGCTCCCTCCTGCCCCGCCGCAGCTCCCTCGCTCCCTCTGTGCCTCCGGCCGGAGTTCAGGGGTCGGTGTTGAAAGGCTGCGGGAACAGATAAGGAGACTGTCAGCACACAGAATTGCTGCCACACTCGGCCTTCCAACGCTTAGGGGGACGTCTGCTTTATGTATCACTTAGAGCGCAGCTTTCTGCCCATCTAACCTGGAAGAACACACTCTCTTTAATATCAAAGAATTGCCACTGACTCCTGAGCGTGGGTGAGCGCTCTGTTCCGTTCACAGGCCCGTAATAAAGGTCTTTTACTTCAGAGTTGGACAGGATGATGCTTATGGGATCCCTTCCAACTCAGAATACTCTGTTGAACCTCTTGAAATGTATGCAGGAAAGACAAGGGTACAAGGGTGAAATTGCATGTTCAAGGAAGTCAACCGTTTGGTAATGCTTTAGAATGCTTTGCAATTAACTTATTCTATTTGGTAAACTAATTAAGGAGGAAATGAACAAATTCCCTCGGGAAGTTACTGTGCTTTGTTTCTGGGCTCATTATCCATCACCTGCCACTTGAGTACTTTAAACTTCCAGGCAGGTCCCATTGAAGTCTGTTTGAATATCACCTCCTTTGTTTTCATATCAAGGTGATCTCCATTTCATTTCTTCAAGCAGGGGTTAAACTAAATATTCTTTCTGAAGTTGAATTAGAATGTACAATAGGAATGGGAAAAGCAATGACAGTACCTTGAACAGGATCAGACAATGGCCGCATTCAAATAAATATGCCTACTTCATGCCTTTACTTTAGAAGATCCAGGAAGATGAAAACTAGTAAAATTTAAAAGTTACAAAAGTACCAGTAACAAATTTTGTAAATAACTAGGATTAAAATTGAAGCTACAGAACCGTGATAAAAAAGGACAAAGGAATGTAAGTTTATTATCCATAAATATTGGCTGAAAATAGAAAAATTTCTGAATGGGCTTTCAGATGGAAGTCAAAAGTTGATTGATGTTAAGATGGGACAATTAGGAGAGGCAAATGCATTTTGGATTTTGTAGATTTTGTTTAAAAAATTGTGAATTTTCTACAACAGCCTTGCAAGGCTAACCTAAATCTTCTGGCTATGATGGATCATCAGGCCTGTGTCAAAACCCACAAATTTCTATATGTTATCAAAGCTATGAAACCTGAAGGAGGAATCCACATTTACCTAACTTTTGGCATTTGTGTGTCCCAGTGAGGAGGTCCGTTGTCTTCAATCTCACTACAGTCAGTGTGGCCACAGAAGTCCTTCCAAAGGGCAAGTCAGAGCTAATCCAAGTGCTCTCATTCTCTAAAAGAGCTTCTGATATCAGAAACTAATATTAGATGCCTCAGTAAAAATGCCAAATAAAGTGACCAAGATCCCCTCCCTGTAAGTAATATATTAATTTTTTTCTCTATAGAGGGTATTGTTTATTTAGAGAGTGCTGGGGACAGTAGGACTACAAATGAGTAGCAAAAGTATAAATTAGTGCTTTGGAAAAATACATCGCTTTCATCGTCAAGAGCAGAGGAACCTTTAAAGAATTGTGGTGAGACCAAGCATAATGACACCCGGTGTTGTACCTTTGTCCCCATCTGCAAATCTCACCCCAGCTCACAACTGTCCAGTAAGACTGGTCTCTTGAATTCCTATGCTTAGTTTCCCCCAGAGTAGAGGCACATCTGACACTTTCCACTCCAAACTCCTTTGTAACTGAGGAGAAATAAAACCCTGTACCCCATCATCCCGACAGCCTTCTGTGAAGTTCTCCATCTTTCTATACTCATTTGCTTAACATGTCAAGAAAATCAAACATTCCTTTCAAAAACCTGTTAATTCATTAATGAAGACATGTATTATTTAAAAGCCACATATTTGAGTTGATACAGTTTTCAAGACTGTTATTCATTTCTAGGCTGCATACAGTCCTGGTCAATTTATATTCCATACTGCTTTCTTGCTTAATTAGCTCCCTTGTTTTGGATGCTTCCCTTTCTATATTATTGTAATTGGGAAAAATATACTTTTCTCCTTTTCTTTGTAAACCATGTAAGCCAAGGTCATCAGTAAGCTGGCCATTACTTTTATTTCAGTTATACTCTTCTGAGCACAGTTCCACCAGAACAGGAAGTACCTAGTGATAATCAGCAGGGGTTGTCTATGTTTTGTATTTTCTACCTTGTAAATTATTTTAGATTCTAAAGTCACAGAAAATATTAATTCCTAGCAATGAAAACTCCAGAGAATTCATAGATAAAGATTTCAAACATTAATTGATTTTGTTTGTTATTGTTGTAGGGTCATCAGTGAGACATGACCAGTGAATTCAGCAGATTAAGCAGTGCCATAGATTCAGCAGGGCCGTACTTCTAATATAAACACTGTCTCACTTTTTACTGTTTGTCTATCACACAAAGATTTAGACTTCAGCTTCTTAGACATAAACTCTGCACTAAGATATAGACTCTGTGTATGGATACCATCTTGCACCTTTTTATACTCTGGTGGGAAAGTTTTGTTCCAAAGCAAGTAAAAAATACCAGCACTGTATTCAGCACGCAAAAGGGCATTATCTTACCCATTCTAGTCAGCAATTTTTTTCAAAATAATGAGCAGGCATCTTGTCTGGTGGACAACTGACTTGTTCTCCTCCAAGGAAGCATTCTGCTGGGACAGATGATTCGCATGTGCCTCAGCCTGGTCACTTGCAGTACAGCAGCAGTGACTATTCCTGGCTCTTTGATCTGGAATGATGGGGTGGCTACTATCACAACTCTACTCTCACCTATCCAGGTGGCGAGGGGAGCAGCAGATCAATTGTTCCCCTGACATAAGATGGAATGGAAGATATAAAAACCTTCTTTCCAGGGTGAAGACTCTGTTCCCTCATAGCTGAGGGCATGCTAACACCACTCTCATTAAAGAGGAAAGCAGCTCACTGACAGCAGCATTGTTGTACTGCCCCGTGCTCTCCCATCCAGGAGTTGTTTTGCTGCTGGTCCACCTGCACAGTTTCAAGCTAGGCATAAAGCTCCAGTACATGACTTTTGGCCTCAACTTCTTCTTGATAGAGACACTGGGGCCTGATAGGTGGACTCTTCTTTCCCAAATCATTGACTCTGGTGTACTTCCCATTTCAACAGCAGTTTTTTCTCCTTTCTGCATATACTGAATACCTTTAGTGTTTCTTGGCCCATGTGTTCCATAACTCAGAGGCCAAGGGAATTTTATATTCCTGTTGTGAAAGCGAGCCTTGAGTGTTCTGACAGCCATGTTCTGTGTGCAGAAAAGTCAAAACCAGCTAAGTTTTGATGGCTGAATTGTGGTTTCTCTGTGCACATCTTACAAATATTGAGGTGGGTTTTAATAGAACTTCTCAGGATGGAGGTCAAAATATCTGGGATGCATCTCACTGCTGTGTGGGAATATCATTGCATCATACTGCATGTGTACACTTAGCTTTGGGGAGGTACCTAATTGCACGCTGCACACCTTAATTCAAAGCAGATGAATTTCAGCCTGAGTGGCACTAAGCCATATGTTGGGTAGGCTTTCTGTGAATCGAGTCTGTAAAGCTTAGGGGAACACAACACTTTAAAATCAGCTTTTATCTTCATTTATTGACTTTTGCACATACACATGAGATTTTTCAAGAGGCATCCCTCTGAAAAGCTCTGAAACGGAAATCTCCACATATGAGAATTTCAAGTGTCATCATGCATCATGTAAATATACCAACTTGCATGTACAACTTTGCTTCTAACCAAAGGACAAAAGTAACTATGAATATGCAATATTTTGAAATATTTATTGCTAAGTTATATTAAATAAGTTTCTAAAAAGATGAGGGGATGAACAGCATTTAAATATAGAATAATATGTACATTAAGCAAAGAAGAGCTGAAATCTCTGTGTCTCTTACCTGTTGAAATTATAGAATATATTGATTTAAACCTCCTTTCAGGTAAATAAAATTTGGAAAATCTTCTCAAAAAAGATTAGAGGAATCCTTTAACATGTAAAAATCCCCCCCAAAATGACAGGGGGTTATTGCTTTGGTTACAGCTCATCCTTCATAGCAGTTAATATTCATATAAACTAAATGTTCAGTCTGTTCATTACAGCTTTAATTCAATCATGTCACGTTGGTTTTACTATTTTATTTATGTGCATTCTTCTAGTCCAAGACTTTTGTCACTGTGTTCATCTCATTAAATATGTGTACTTCCACTCAGTAAATATGGGTACTTTCAAAAATGATGCCTCAGTTTAGTAGCAGATGCTTCTTAAAATATTTAGAATTTTAAAGTGTAAAGAAGCCATCAGTAGCATTCTGATTTGTGTATAAATATTTATTTAGCACACATTCTGGCCAATGTACTGCCCTTGATTTTTGTGCAAAACTTACAGTAACTTCAATGGATATTCTGAGCTCATGACTAGAGGAAAATATGGTTAATTCAGCAACCCAGCTGCTTTTATATCCCAGAATAGCAAGCAGTGCCTCTAGTGAAGGAGATGGTGAAAGAGGAGACTTTGTGTCATTCTTAGCTTTCTGTTGCTGGGCTCACATTTGGGTAATAGCTCAAGTTAGAGCAGACTCAGGACTATTCTAATTCCCTTCAGAGACTTCTAGCCAAGTTCCTGCCAACCAAGGGAGAACTGTGGTAAGAAGCTGAGATCAATGGTCAGAAAAGCTCTAGCAATATTTTCTAAAAATTCTGTGAGAGGCTTTTATATTACAACATTTCTGTGTGGAAAAAAATTAATATGAAATAAATCTGTTTGATGGAGAAATTTCATCACTGAAATGAGATTTTAAGGTGAATAATTTTTTTTCGG